ACGACATAGCGAACGAAAGAATTTTAAGATTTTAGTTAATTTAAGAGTTTAGTTAATTTAAGATTTTAGTTAATTCTTTTATTTACGACCTAGCGTACGAAAGAATTTGTAGGTATTAGATTCTTTTATTTACGATATAGTAAACAAAAGAATTTTAAGATTTTAATTAATTTAAGATTTTGGTTAATTCTTTTGTTTACGATATAGCGTATAAAAGAATTTATAAGTATTAGATTCTTTTATTTACGATATAATGAACGAAAGAATTTTAAGATTTTAATTAATTTAAGATTTTAGTTAATTTAAGATTTTAGTTAATTCTTTTATATATAACATAGCGAATAAAAGAATTTTAAAATTTTAGTTAATTTAAGAGTTTGGTTAATTTAAGATTTTAGTTAATTCTTTTGTTTACGACCTAGCGTACGAAAGAATTTATAGGTATTAGATTCTTTTGTTTATAACATAGTAAATAAAAGAATTTTAAGATTTTAGTTAATTTAAAATTTTAATTAATTCTTTTGTTTATAATATAGTGCATAAAAGAATTTATAAGTACTAAATTCTTTTGTTTATAATATAGTAAACGAAAGAATTTTAAAATTTTAGTTAATTTAAGATTTTAATTAATTCTTTCGTTTATAACTTAGTATATAAAAGAATTTATAAATACTAAATTCTTTTATTTATAATATAGTAAATAAAAGAATTTTAAAATTTTAGTTAATTTAAAATTTTAGTTAATTCTTTTGTTTACGACTTAGTATATAAAAGAATTTTAAGATTTTAGTTAATTCTTTCGTTTATTACATAGTAAATAAAAAAATTACTAAGATTTTAGTTAATTCTTTTATTTAATATATAGTAACTAAAAAAATTTTAGGATTTTAGTTAATTCTTTTGGTTATTACTTAACGGCCGAAACGTTTTTTAGAATTTACTTACTTAACGGATAAAAAAATATTATAAATTTACTTAAACCCTTTAGTTACTACTTAACGACTAAAAGAACTTTAAGATTTTGCCTAATTCTTTCGATTACTACTTAATAACCTTAACTTTTTAAAATTTTAGCTAATTCTTATAATTAGTATTTAGTAAATAAGATATTTATAAAGTTTTATTTTAAAATATTTAATACTATATTTATAAGCTTATTATTATTATAATTATATTAATTAACTTTATTATATTTTATCTTATTTATATATAATAGCTAAGAAGGGTATTGGGGTTATAAAACTATTTAGCCTTATATATATTCTTATTTACGTTAAAAAGGGGGGAGTTATTTTAAACGATTTATCTTCTTAAGGGAAATATAATATTATAGTTAAAGGGGATTTTTAATTTAATAAAACGTAGTTATAGCTACTTAGCCTCCCGTAGCCCGACTATATCCTACGTAATACCGATAATATAATTACTAAAATCTATACTTATAAGCGTTTTTTATTATAACGCGTACTTCGCTCTTATTTTTAATTTCTAAAAAATAATAACTTTTTTTTACGTATTATAATACCCGTAATAACGTAAATAAAATACACGTCGTTATGTTTTAATAAAACACTTTTTATTAATTTTTAAAGTCTTTTTAATAGTAAGTGCTTTTTATAACCTATATTCTATTTATCTTAGTTTTATTTTAAGTTTAATTGCTTTTAAGTTTAATTGATTAGAATTGCGTTACGTTACGTTAGGCTATTATTTTTATAAGTTAACTTAATTTTATTAGTTATTACGTAATAAACGAAAGAATATAGTAAGTTTATATAATTCTTTTAGTTACTATGCGACGGACAGAAGAACATTATAAGTTTGCTTAATACTTTTAGTTACTACGTAATAGATAAAAGAATTTTAAGATTTTAGTTAATTCTTTCGTTTATTATATAGCGACTAAAAGAATTACTAAGATTTTAGTTAATTCTTTCGTTTATTATATAGCGTATAAAAGAATTTATAAATATTAGATTCTTTTATTCGTAACTTCGCATATAAAAGAATTTATAAGTACTAGATTTTTTTATTTACGACCTAGCGAATAAAAGAATTTATAAGTACTAAATTCTTTTGTTTATAACTTAGCAAACAAAAGAATTTTAAGATTTTAGTTAATTTAAGATTTTAGTTAATTTAAGATTTTGGTTAATTTTTTTGTTTATTATATAGCGACTAAAAGAATTACTAAGATTCTGGTTAATTTTTTTATTTATTATATAGCGTATAAAAGAATTTATAGATACTAAATTCTTTTATTTACGACCTCGCGTATAAAAGAATTTATAAATACTAAATTCTTTTATTTATAACCTCGCGTATAAAAGAATTTATAAGTATTTAATTCTTTTATTTATAACTTAGTAAATAAAAGAATTTTAAAATTTTAGTTAATTTAAAATTTTAGTTAATTTAAAATTTTAGTTAATTTAAAATTTTAGTTAATTTAAGATTTTGGTTAATTTTTTTATTTATTATATAGCGATTAAAAGAATTATTAAGATTTTAGTTAATTTTTTTATTTATTATATAGCGTACGAAAGAATTTATAAATATTAGATTCTTTCGTTCGCGACCTTGCGTATAAAAGAATTTATAAGTACTCGATTTTTTTATTTATAACTTAGTAAATAAAAGAATTTATAAGTATTAGATTTTTTTATTTACGACCTTGCGCACAAAAGAATTTATAAATACTAGATTCTTTTATTTATGACCTCGCGTATAAAAGAATTTATAAGTACTAGATTCTTTTATTTACGACTTAGTAAATAAAAGAATTTTAAGATTTTAGTTAATTTAAGATTTTAGTTAATTTAAGATTTTAGTTAATTTAAGATTTTAATTAATTTAAGATTTTAGTTAATTCTTTTGTTTATTATATAGCGACCGAAAGAATTACTAAGATTTTGGTTAATTCTTTTATTTATTATATAGCGTACGAAAGAATTTATAGATATTAGATTTTTTTATTTACGACTTTGCGTATAAAAGAATTTATAAATACTAGATTTTTTTATTTATAACCTCGCGTATAAAAGAATTTGTAAGTACTAGATTCTTTTGTTTACAACTTAGCGAATAAAAGAATTTTAAGATTTTAGTTAATTCTTTTGTTTATTATATAATAACTAAAAGAATTACTAAGAATTTAGTTAATTCTTTTGGTTATTACTTATTAAATAAAAGATCTTTTTATTATTACTTATTAAATAAAAGATCTTTAAGTTATTACTTATTAAATAAAAGAAAAACTTCCGTAAACTTATTTACTTATTTTTATTTATATTAAATTATTAAAAAAACTTTTTTTATTAATATTAGGCGGCTATGGTAGTAAAGTAATATTAAGTAGTTATAGTAGTAAAGTAATATTAAGTGGCTACGGTAGTAAAGTAATATTTAGTAGTTACGGTAGTAAAGTAATATTTATTAACTACGGTAGTAAAGTTATATTATATTTTATAACTAAAAAAAAATAACTTATTTTAATATATTAAAAAGTAATAACTAAGTAGGTATAATATAATAATACTTTTATAAATTTCTTACTTTTTTAAAATATACCTTATTTTTAACTAAAAAGTATGCGAAATTCTTAAAATTTCCTAAACCTAAGCCCATTTAGCCTACTTGATATATAAAGGAATTTATAAATACTAAATTCTTTTATTTACGACCTCGTATATAAAAGAATTTATAAGTATTTAATTCTTTTATTTACGACCTCGCGCATAAAAAAATTTATAAATATTAAATTCTTTTATTTACGACCTCGCGAACAAAAGAATTTTAAGATTTTAGTTAATTCTTTTATTTACTATATAGTAACTGAAAGAATTACTAAGATTTTAGTTAATTCTTTTATTTATTACATAGCGAATAAAAAAATAATTAAGATTTTAGTTAATTCTTTTATTTATTATATAGTAACTAAAAGAATTACTAAGAATTTAGTTAATTCTTTTAGTTATTACTTATTAAATAAAAGATTTTTTAATTATTACTTATTAAATAAAAGAATTTCTTAAGTTTTATTTAATTCTTTTAGTAATTACTTAATAGTTAGAAAAAATTCCGTAAACTTATTTACTTATTTTTATTTATATTAAAGTTTTAAAAAAACTTTTTATTTCGTAATATTAAGTAGCTATAGTAATAAAGTAATATTAAGTAGCTATAGTAATAAAGTAATATTTAGTAACTACGGTAATAAAGTAATATTTAGTAGCTATAGTAGTAAAGTAATATTTATTAATTATAATAATAAAGTAATTCTATATTTTATAACTAAAAAAATAAACTTATTTAAATATATTAAAAAGTAATAACTAGGTAGTTATAATATAATAATATTTTTATTAATTTCTCGCTTTTTTAAAATATGCCTTATTTTTAACTAAAAAATATACGAAATTCTTAAAATTTCCTAAACCTAAGCCCATTTAGCCTACTTGATACGTATTAAGTCGTAATACCTACCTTATCTTTCTATAAGTTTAATAGTAAATATACGAGACTAATCTTTTTTAAAACTAATTTATAAATAATAATAAAGTTATATTTCTTTTTTTTCTATTCTTTTATATTAAAGCTAGTTTTTAAAGGATTAGGTAGTAAAGTATTATTTTTTAGCTATTACAAAAGCTTTATAATAGTAAATAGTTTTAAAATATAATAAATACCTAGGATAATAGATATAAGAGTTTAGCTCTTTGATTTTGATATATTACTTTTTATCGAATACTAGTCGCGTCTAGACGCTAACTCTAGCTAGAAAGCTCGTAAGCTTACTAAGCGCGTGTCCTAACGTTTTAACCGCCTTATTTAGAAAATATCAAGGCACTATAGTTCAATGCAAACCTCTTCCTATAAGCTTAGCAAAGTTTAACGGCACCTTTGTTTCCAAGTCAGCTTCGTTTCCCGTCACATTAAATATCCTATACGACAGTAAGAATGGCATTAAGAGGGGTAATTATTCAAAGTAGCAGCATACCCTAGTCTTGGAGTGCTCTACGCATTCTTGCCTTAGTGACGGCCATCTTGGCCGCAACTTTATCGTTGATGTATCCATTCACGGTTTCTGCCATGTTCTCTTCAAACCATTTGCTCATGTGCTCCTGCATTGCGTCTCCTAAATTGTCCCTGACCCACTCCTCCACATCATCGCAAATGTCCGGCATTTGTTTCCCGAGCTTCTCGCACTCATCGTCAAGCTCGCCGGTATGAATGAGCAATGACTCGACAGTCTCCTGAGTTTCGGTCTGTCGGTTGCCCAAGTCGCAACAGTTGTCCTCTACATCGTCATGCCGTGCCTCAAGTTCACTATTGCGCCTCTTGAGTTCCTCGACATCTGCCTGTAGCTGTAGGATTTGCCGGCGTTGCTGCTCAAGCAGAATCGTCAACCTACTCTGTGACCGTTCCAGGTCTGCAAGTGGAGATTTCGAGTTCTCTCCAGGGCGTTCTTCGTCCGTCGTAGTTGTGTAAATAGTGGTGAATGCACGCTTACAATAGACTCTCTTCGAGCAAGGATGTATGTCCGTCTCTTCGCTACCAAAGTGCAGCCCTCGTTTGGAAGTCTTTGACGTATTGTTGTACTGCCCTTTGCTATCTCCGTATGGCGGGAGGACATCGTCACCGCCAAGACCCCCGCCAACGAAAGCCGTGGCGGTCGATTTGGCGCTCGCCTGCTCCCTTGGCTGTCTTCCAGTATTTTCGTGTTCGTCATACTGCGGCGGCGGTGACTCTTGGTCGCGCGGCACAATGTCAAAAGCAACAGTGGAACCGCACGACTCGGATGTGACTGGCGTGGTAGCTCTATTGTCTTCTTCGTCGCGCGGGGGGCTACTTTGGACCTTCGCGGTGAACTCCTCAAGCGTCACCACAGTACCACCTTTGCCATGATACAGCCGGCGCAGATCCAACACACGCTCGTATGATTGACGCTGGGCGGCTGTCAGATTCGGAAATTGTCGAACGCCCTCGGCGAAAGCTTGGAATGTGGTCATCCGCAAGACGTTGTGCGGGAAATAGAGGGAAAATGTTGAGGCCGTCGCGAGTGACGTGGCCAAGGCAAATGTGTGCCGCGCCGGGTTGTCGGAGGCTTGGACCTCATCGCGAGTTAAGCCAGTGGGCGCGATAAGTTGGCAATGGAAGCCACTGTGCAACCGGAGCTGGAGGCGAGTCACGAGGCGCTTGGCACCTAGTCGCTGGCGGACACGTTCGAGGCACGGCGGGCTTTCGTCATTCGTATCAATCGTATCGCAGGTCGTGTGGCGCAGCGAAGCAATGCGGTCGGGGGTGATGTGCAGATAGAGAGTGGTGTTGTTCGAGGTGCTGTGGGCGATGGCTACGCTGAGGCGGAAAAGAACTGATGACGACGGGTGATAGAGGGCGTTCAGTTTGAAGGGTTGGTCAAGGAATTCGGGCTGTCGTCCATTTTCTTCATCTTCACGCACCACAAAAACAGTATGGACAAAGCGTACACCTCCGCCGGACGACATATTAAATTCGCTCTGTATTTAATCTTGCAGATGTACACAATGTCTGGTAGCAGCCAGGGACAAACTAGGTGGATACTTACCGCGGTAAAGTCATGGCCCTTCCTTTTCCTCTCTTCGCTACAAGTGCAAATACGTCGCGAGGTTTTTCGTAGACAAGACTAGTTCCAACGTGGCCGAAGCCCTGCCCGAGATGCGTTGGGGACTCCTGCACAAGCAGTAGAATGAACAGAGCGACGGGTGACAGGTCCAAGGGTGAAGTTGCAAAGCAAGATTCACAGGTTGGACGGGTTCTGACGGGATTCTGTTCCTACTCGCACAGAGAGTCAGGCAAGCATTCAGGAGTAGTCAAATGGTCGAAGTGACTAGAGCAGGTCTGCTTAATCAAAAAGCGCGCGTGCGAAAGATGAGGTTGAAGATGGAAACGATGGAGCGACCCCACGGGAATTCGCCATGGTGATGGCGACGTTGTGTCAACCACCGCGTGGCTGGGTGGATCGGATGCCAGGCTGCTGGGGTCCGTCGGGGTTAGCGAAATATTTTTCCGTATCTTAGTAAGCGCAAATGCTGACCTGCTCGTGGGAGCCCAATGGGTGGGGTCTGAGGTGGCATTATACGGACGAACATGTGACTTACAGCTTGCTTCTGGCGGGTATTAGTCAGCTGCACTCAAGCCTGCCCGCAAGAACACGTAGAATACAGCCAAACATCTCAAGCACACTCTTCTTTAGGTATTCTAAATGCGACAGCGTTTGACCAAGATTCAAATGCTGGTTAGCTTCATGTGCCATTTGTTTAATATTCATAAGCTATTGTATCCTTGAAAACTAGGGAGTTCCCAGGGCGACACTGCTACGGCATAGTTTACATAAACGCTCGAGACTTAGGTGCACGTAGACCGGCAAGCCGATTCCTACAATGGGCACAAGAAGGCCTACGACTCGGATTAATATCAATGCGTTATAGGACAGAAAAGCCTCCAGGAATTTTCTCGTTCTCCTAAAGCGTGTTGATGACCACAACACACAGTTGTTAGTTCAGATTGACAGTACCGTTTCCTGCCTGAACGGATGGTGTGACTCTGACTACCAGTTGCACAGACGCCTTCCTCCCCGAATCACTCCGGTCATATCTTAACCCGGACTTCCCGGCGTCATCACCACATTCTTAAAATACGATTAGTTTGACTTTTATCTTATTTTTACACCACATCCTTTTCGTGTGTCTAACTGCATTTGACGACACTGTTGCTAGCGCTAAGATTGTCACCGACATCCAACCCAACTCTATCCCTATTACTATCTTTCTTCAAGGGAGATGCCATAGGAATAGCGCCTTAACTACCAGTAAACGTAAGGACATCGATACCTAGATTGAACGCGCTGCCGCTTAGCTCAGGAAAGTCTCCGTTACTTCTATCCCTAGCTAATCCGCTTTAGCAGTCAGACAACATGCTAGAGAATTAAGGCAGAGGTTTTGCGAGCCGTAGGGCTGATGAGAAAATGTCCAGATATCTAAAAGCATCAGTTTTGTCCTTTCCAGGGCACCCGTCGTCTGGGACACGACAGCAATGTGCCACATAGCATGCCTGATACAAGGTTCCAATATTGGAAAAAAGTACCAACGATAACGTGACATGAAATGGAGCTGCCAATGTGTCCATTCATGCTAATTCTCTCGGCGCAATTTCTTTCTCACTCGCCCTCGCCCCATATTCGAATACCTGCAAGCCATCGGTTAAGAGACTAAGGGTTGCTTATTAACGTTTCTCAATACCATGCGTACTCAACGTGAAAACATTGAGAAGCACAAGACTTATGCCAGGCTGCCCAAAAGTTCTATATTTTGGCGCCCCTAATTCTCCAGCAGCATAGCCCTCGGCTTTGTGTATAAGTCGTATAGTGTTAGATCGCTAGCTAAGTAATTCGAAAGAGCGTCGGATATGCTATAAGAGAAAGCCGTTGATTGTGTAGTCGCCCCATGGCCGGTATACTAATGTATTTCACAAATAGTAGGTTTCATCAATCGAACGAGACCTTTTCACTGGAAGAGGTATAAATTAATAGGAATGATCATCTCACATACTACTATTGCCACTTATGAAGACGTGCTTCGTCTCGACATGCTGTATAGCCAGGCTCGTCAATCAAGGAAAGTACATACGACCGTACCCATTAGAAAACTCGGGATCCCGTCCGCTCTCCCATAGATAAGCCAATGAGGGTCGGACTACAGCGAATATCTGGTATTAAATTTTTTTTTCTTTTGGTAGACTTTTGCTTTTCGATCTTAGCAAGATTAGTAGGTGACAATACTAGTCTTAGAATTTAGACTGCGGTTATCTTGGGGCCTGCCGTACACTTACTTAGGTAAAGTTGTCACAATGAGACAAAGGACTGTTCGAGTTGATTTTGCGAGTGGGCCCCAACTGGAATATTGGTCGGGTTATAGCAGCGGACTTCAGCTGAGGTCTGAGCTATTACATTGCTACTTGCCTTTGTTAGTGATTGTGAAGGAGGGGCCGCCTCGGCGTTGATGTTGCTGGGGCTATTGTGGCTTGGTTCGCCCGAGTTGGTTTTGTTGTTCTGAAGTCCCGCTATCGGAATACACCGTGCACCCGGGTCAGGTATCAATAACAAAGACCTCTGGCATCCCGCCGTCCAATTGACGCAGAAATTATTAGACGGCGATACGTGATTATATCAACCCTGTGAAGTCACACCTGCGACCACCCAACGCGTCAAGCAGACGATGCTGCCTCCGCCACTAATTTCCAGTCGAATCTCACACAGTTTGGATATGTCGCGTTGAGTCTCTCGTCTTCATCTCGCGATTCAACCTACGTGGTCATCTGGCGGATTGCTTCGCTCCTAGCCAAGCCATCCATTCTCATGTTCCCAGCTTGTCCTTCCCCTACCCTATCCATCTTAGGTGCCAGAACCACATTGTGTCCTCCTGGCTGTGAGACATCGTTGCAGCCACTTCACCTTCCACCACCATCGTTTCCCAACCTCAACCCGGAAATTATCTACCCTCATCCCCGCTCTCTCTCTCTCGAAAAGACTCAACAACGCATGCATCATGTGAGTCTCGATAGCCTCGACTGTCCAAGCCCTAGCGCTGCCCATTGACAGCTTTCTTTTTTTTTTTTTTTTTTTTTTTTAGCAACAGTGGCATCTCTGAGTAATAGCTGGGTCATGAATTGATGCGCTTTTATTTCCCTAACAATGTATACTTTCGGGCGCTTTATTTCCAGGAGCCACAACACTCTTATATTGGCATAGTATCCTGAAATGGGTCCTTGTTCTTCTCATTGACCCTGCCACACATCACAAAACATGCGGCTAGGCGGCCGGCGTTCTTAGTACCAAGCGGCAGAGTGTGGAGCACTTGCGATTCTCGCGCGGTTTCTCCCTAGTGTCGTTTGTCGTGACGTAGAATTACACATTTCAAAACTTCTCTCAATCGCAATTGGCCGGCATGATAACTTGAACGGGGCAAGTTGAGCAGCAAGGTCCGTAGAGACGAATTTGGGCCAGGAATGCCAATCGAATATAACAAGGCCGAAATAATGGCAATAAAGACACCTTTCCTTTGGTGTGCCAGGCAGCTGAAAGGATTATGGCTTTGGAAAGTCCCATACACGCGGCTTTTTCATCATCAAACGTTCTTGAGATCTTGATAGACCAACACGAACCTTTCCTTTTTTAGTTCATCCAAAGATGCAAATTTGGAACCAGATTCCCGTGGCTTCCTGTTCATACCCGGGTGTGTTGGAAGCAGATTAAAAGCAGGCCGTGGTAAAGTTGATAGGTACAGAGATAAGTCCAATTAACCCCGTCTTGAGCGCTCCAGATTGCACTTCTTGAATTGGGCCTACACGAGAGTGGACTATGACTCCAGGCACACAATAAAGCATCGCTTCCAAGTGGTTTAAAATCACATTTCTCTCACCTTCTTTGGGCCATTTCTAAGGATACTGTTCTCTGGTGTTTGGGAATACCTTTGCACTCCACTCGGAGCTTTGAAAAGAACAAAGCGTTACTTGATAGTGACACTCTGGAATGTTTCCATGGATGCCAATTACTCTAATTCAGGACCTTGCCTTTACCCTTATCGCCATTGCCCTTAGGTTGCCTGGGTATGTTGATTGACAGCTAATTACACTCTCCCTTTCCCCGTCCCCCTCATTCTTCGACGGCAATATAGTAGAGCCCGCCTGAACCATGCACAGGATAGACAATGAGGCTGATCCAGGGGTAAATTGTGGGGTAGGGCAGGCAGGCCGGGTAAGGTGTGGTAGATTGAAGAGAAATCAGCCAACAATAAGAAACAGGTGTAGCCCTCATTCATTTTACCCCCTCGATGACCTAACTAGAACAGACTTTAACAAGGAGATTCTGCCTCAGTCAATTTTCTTGAAGCTTCCCCGCCTCTCTCTCTTTATTTCTTCCAACAACGAGATGTTAGAATACACTCGATGTTTATTTCTTGTGTTAGCCGAGTTTGGTCGTATGAACAGACATTGAGTTTCAACTTTCGGTAGCGTAAACCACCATTTCATATTCAACCTAGACGAATGCGGTGACCGTGCCTCATATTTCACAGCTATCGGGAGTTAAGAGCGGTAGTCGTGTTCGGGTGGCTTGCATTCTTTTGATCCCAATACAGTCTAGAAGCGATGGATTCCGCATTACTTACCTGAATACGAGAGAATTTGCCTATTTTGCCCCCATGGACTCCCCGATTCATGAGTGAAACAAGCGTATTTTGAAAAACTCTGTTACCGTTGCCGAAAGACAGGCAATTCCGCCCTTTGTTTGTTCTGGTCGTCCGTAGTGGCGCGACTAGGAGCTACTAGTGTCGGAGTCCACGTGCGAGACATCTCCAATAGGGACTAGCCGCAGCTTATCCCGCCCTCCGCATCCAGTAACCAACACGGCTCGGACAAATGGGGCAAGTCGATCCTCAAGCATCAAACTTCGAGCTGTTGGATCAGTGATGGGACCGCGACACAGCCATCACTGTCTGGCTTAGGGTCAAGGGCGTAGCGTCGACCTAAGCTGTTAGTCGGCCGGAGTAGGCGCATCAGTCGCGCGACGAGTCGACTTGTACCTTGAGACTAGCGCCATGGCCCACCGGCATCCATACTCAAAGCACTGTTAAATTCCGCTTCTAAACTGTTCTGGCAAAAGCGACCGGCCCCTACGGCGGCATGCGGACAACGGAACCCGCAGTGCGGAACCCCCCTTGGGCAGATCGAATCTCATATGAGCTTGCCAGACCCGTTGCGCAAGGGTAGCGGTGTTGCTACTTTCTTCTCTTTTGCGTTTCCCCCCGGGAGTCTCCTATCATTGGCGACAAGGTTTGCGTTAGCAGGGCCTTTCGCGTTCACCATTGCCAAAAGACACGACTAGGTTCTGCAACTTTATCGCGATGATGAAGTCCATGCTTCTGAGGACAGGCATCCTGGCGGCATTGGCGCTGGTGGCAGGAGCAGAGTCAATATTCGACACAAATGCGACGGCGGTTGCACAGTGGCTTGGTGCAGTACCACAATGCTCGGTAGGTCATAAGCCCCTTTGGCTAAGTGATTATTTCTTGTCGTGGATTCTACGGCGCGATTTGAACCCACGTTCTGCTCAAACATATACTCACACTCTTCTGGATTCAGATGCCATGCTTCGCTGAGGTTCTCTCATCCGGGAGCTGTCAGCTCAAGGGGCTTGCGAAATGCGCCTGCACGAACGATGACATTCAACTAAGAGTCTCAACATGCGTGCAGCTGTCCTGTGACTTTGCCGATCAAGTCGGTGAGTATATATTGCTTATGCCTGCGACCTTTGAGCACCGTTCTGAAGCTTGTCCTATCCAGATGCCACACGAAAATCCCAAGTCTTGTGCCACGACTACCCGAATCAACAACGGAAGGGAAGCTATGCTATATTCGCCATCACCCTACCAGTCATCACGACTTTCATCGTGTTTCTGAGATGCTTCGCCCGCTGGACTGTTGCTCGCAAGCTGTGGTGGGATGACTACGTTACACTACTCGCCTTGGTATGCATGTCGCTATTTCATCCCGCCATCCGAATTTAGGAACTGATGATCAGAAGGGTTTGCTCATTGTTCTATCGGCATGTGGCGTAGCGAGTAAGTTGCCAACAGCTTTACAATAACATGAGGATGGGGGGGCTAACTTCAATATATAGTTTGTTCCTTGGGATTCGGGAAGCATTACTGGGTCATTGACCCTAGCAATGCCAAGCCAATTTTACAGGTAACTTGGCCCCCCCCCCCCCCCCATGGCTATCCTTCCACTTTTAATCAGCTAATCACTTTTCGTACACAGATGTTCTACGCGATGCAAATCATATATGTTCTTGTAACGTGAGTCTTGCTCTGAAGCCCTATATTGGATTCCCTGAAGCTGAATCTCATCAGGATTACTGCAAAGATCACCATCTGTTGTTTCTACCACCGAGTCTTCCCCAGTAAGCGATCACAGATAGCTGCAAAGGCTGCCATTGTGGTGCTCATTATTCGTGGGCTTGTCGTGGTCTTCTTGATCGCTTTCCAATGTGTCCCGCTTACCGCAATCTGGGATAAGTCGGCCAAGGGGCAATGTCTTAACCTCACGGCCATCGGTTACGCCGGCGCCATCTCTGGCATTGTTGAGGATGTGGCACTTCTTATCATGCCCATCCCCGAGCTTCTGCACCTGCAGCTGGGGCTCAAGAAGAAGCTCGGCCTGATCTTCATGTTCTGCCTTGGCTCGTTGTAAGAATCACCGACTCTTCCGGAGTTGATTGAAAATACTAATGAGACATCTAGCGGATGCATTGCCAGCGTGGTTCGACTCAAGTACTTAGTGTCCTTTGCGAACAGCTTTGACCCGACATGTATGTCATTAACCCAGGGTATTATGTTAAAACATTCAATGGTTACTAACACTCTCGATACTAGGGGACAACGCTGATGTTGTCAGTTGGAGTGGCGTCGAGGTGAATGTAGCCGTGGTTTGCGGTAGCTTGGCGGCATTACGAGCCCTATTCAATTATCTCGTACCTTACTTTACTACTGTAAAGGAGGAGACTAGTGAAAGCATGTACTCCTTACGGGAGGAAAGGAAAGAAGGAGCAATTCCAGTTTAAGAATGATCAAGATAATTCGCAAGCTGTTCTTTTGAAAACCGTCTCATGACCTAGACGCAAGGAATGCTGGTCGTTGAGGTGCGAACGCGAACTCGGAAATTGATCTAAGAGCCAGAATCGCTGGCTGGGCTCGCGGTATTGAGTGTAAGTCGTACCCTCCCAAACTCTACCCTGGCCCGCCAAGTAGAGAGCAAGACGACTGCCTGAAGAAGACAAGCAAGTAGATTCATATGTCTACTTATCCATCCAAGCCTTGCAGATGCCAAGATATCTAAATATTGTAGCCTAGGAGAGATTCCCAGAGTACGCACCCCGCACGCTGTAGTTTTTAGCTGGCTTACACATCCAGGGTACGTTACTCAGTAACTAATCGGTGTTCATGCTCCCTTTTGGACCGACCAGTAATCATATCCAATTTTCGACATGCGTATGATTATTACATCATATTCTAATGTCTATGAACATGAGGAGGAGCTCTCCACGAAATGACGGCGTCCCAATTTACTAGACATACACTAGTCCGCGAGCACAAAGAGATTGTGAGCTCTGTGAAACCCTGAGAAGAGTTTACAGAAAGAGGCAATTAGTGTGCAACGAGCATACGAAGTCACTTACTTGGCTAACTTGGCTCATTCACTTGGCTAGTATGGAGAAGTCCTAGAGATATGATGGCAAGTGGACGAACTCAACACATTTACCCATTGAAAATCTTACGGGTTTATGAAACTCTTTTTATCAGCCTTTCCGCTCACTGTTCTAAGATTATTAGATTGTAAATACCACCATCCTACAACTTATAGAATTCAACTAGTGGTGTTGTAAGCTACCTTGATTTTACTTAACTCTTCTGCAGTAAGGGGGATGATAGTACCGTGGCGAGGAGAGGCGGGGTACTTGAAATCTTTACGCAATGTCCATCTCCCGCTTGCAAGATCGGATGACTCAAGTGGAACATAGCCATTGCCGCCAAATTCGTCGGTCAGCATAATGTACCTCGGTCCATTGACATCTTGACAGTTCGCCTTGAAGATGGAGGGACCCTCCACCTCCTTGGTCCCCGCGTTTGTACCAATGCAACTGGCCACCTTGTCCCAACCTGCCAGTCCGGCAGTTAGATTGGAGCTCTTCTCCTGGACAATGTCTGCGCAGCCATCTATAGTGGCCTTGGTGAAGCGATAGTAGATGTTATTCTCCTTGATAACAGTTGAGTCGATCCGGCCTCTGGGAGGCTCGTCTTGCCAGATCTTTGGCTCACTGAAAGTCTGGAAATCTTGCGTGGTAGCGTAGACCATTCTCTGGTACTCGAGAGGATCGTGTTTAGAATTGGCCGTGCTATTGTAGACACTGGACGCCCAGTACACAACGTAGGTCTGTAGCTCCTCGTCATAGTACGCCTCAGGTGCCCAAGTATTGCCATAATTATCCGGTGATACCAGGACATGGCGTTGAGCACTAAATGTGATGAGGTCCTCCGACTCCCAGATCTCGAGGTATCGACTGCCAAAACTCTGGGCTTCCCCCCAAGACGTGCCGCAGGCGGTGCAGAGGTCCGTGGCTAGTATGTAGAACTTGTCGCCTTTAGGGGAACGCATGATGAAAGGGTCACGAACTCCACCATCTCCGTCGGTCGATTTCAGGATCGGATGCCCGTTGTTGAGCTCTGTGAATGATAAGGCATCATTTCCGTTCCTGACAGCCAGATAGATATTCTCGTCGCGGTTGCTGAAGTATAGAAATGCGTATCCCTCGTATTGAGAGTTGCAATCGATTTGGCGTTTGATGTGCTCTGGGCTTATAATGCTACCAAGGTTTGTTGGTGATCCCGCGGCGAGTATAGCTAGAGAAGCCAAAGTGGCAACGGCGAGCAATGGGTTGAAGCTGATAAACATTTTAACGAGAAAAATCAGCACAGCGCCTATTACGAGAGATCATGAAGGTAGTAGAGTGAGGCTGTACAAGTGGGCACGTTAATCAGGAGTGTCAGAGTGTCAGAGTTGACACTGCTGTCAGCCCGAGCGACTCTTAAATAAGTGACACGGCAGCCATGCAGCTGAGTCTACCTGCTTGATCCATTGTCAAACCCAGATTGGGAAGAAAGATGCAACTCTGATCCGATCCTCGTATTAACTTTGGTTTAGCTTTTCTTAAGCGCCTGCTGTCTTGGTACATAGCGTTGTTTGAGGTTGGACAGAGAATGGAGCATTCTTGCTTAGAGCGCGCCAGTGGCTAAGGTTTCTTGTAGATCCCACATCGCATCGCTAAGTAAGGTATGCCAGTCACCTCACGAGAAGAACGTTTTGGATTATCAAGGACATGAGGTTTGATCTCAAGCCGGGAACAGCCAATCGCTGGCTCACTTCAGATTCCCCCGGACGTGACAAAAGCCGACCCGGCCAATAACCCGGCACGCCGGACCCGCTTCACACGAGAGAGGCCAGTGATTGGAGCGCGTCAATGGAATCCATATTAGTGTCGTCGATCCCACGTTAGCCATCTTTACCCCAGCACGCCCAGATCATCTTCCCCGTGTGAACCCCGCGATTTTCTTCCCCGCACAAATACGCAGTAGTTCATCGTGGCTTGCGAATAAAGACAGCGACCCGCCCCAATCTTACGTCGTGAGCCCTTATAAACTCAAAGCGCTACTCGGTGTTTTGGGACCCGAGCCGATATGTTGACAATACACTCTTGGAAGGAGTTGATGTTTGTCGTATAAGGTTACGAAATTTTCTAAAACACACATAAGACGACCGAGCGACGGAGGTCATAGTGAATCCAGCCTTTATGAGTATTGAGTCCCATCATATGGCCCGATGTCCACAATGCGTGCCTTCTCAACACTTATATGTCTCGCTGGTCTTTGGCCGTGCCTCACTTATGGCTTCGTCAATCCTATTAGAACAGGGAGCGACCCGCAAATGGTGTATGAGAATGGAATGTAAGTGTCATGTGCTAGCATTGATTTTCTGTCATCATTTACAATCCATCTTAGGTACTATTTGACCTCCACAACGTGGACCGATGTGCGTATCACCGCGGCCTCCACTATCGAAGGTCTCAAGACAGCAGAGCCTCGCGTCATCTGGTCCGATACCACGAATCCGGCCAGAGCCTGCAATTTCTGGGCGCCTGAGATGCACAAACTTGGCGATCGGTGGTACACATACTTTACAGCAAGTGTATGCAACTCCGACTGGGGTATCGTGCTGCCGTCTTTGAGAGTATTTGTTCTCGAAGGCGGCGAAGAGAGCCCATTGTCTGCAAACTACACATTGTTGGACTCGATTGTTCCTCCAAACTACGACGGAGGGATGCTTGATGCGGTATGCTGTACGATTGATCCATACCAGTTACAGAACTGACAGAATAACCTCTAGACTGTTTTTGAGATTGAAAATACGAAGTATTTTTTGGTATGTTAATTTTCCTACAACTTTGCCAGATAGAGTACTGAGCCACTTTTTAGTTTTCTGCTGTTAAGGGCCCTATCAGCCCTGATGGTGCATCACTCTGGATCGCTGAGCTCCTATCGCCAACAGAATGCGGCAATGCCACAATGATAGCAGCCCCTGAATACGGATGGGAGAAAGAAGACTCTGCCGTTCTTGAGGGACCATACGGAGTAGTCTCGCCTTGCGGCACGATTTACGTAGTCTACTCAGCCGACTCTTGCAGCACGCCGGCGTACAAGCTCGGCGCCATGAAGTTCGCTAAAGGCGGCGATCCGCTCAGCCGGAGTTCATGGACCAAGCTATCTCAGCCCATCTTCGAAACCAAGAACGGACTCTATGGGCCTGGCCATAATGCCTTTTTCAAGAGCCCCGACGGGACACAGGATTGGCAGGTGTTCCATGCCAACCTTAATCCGGGTGATGGATGTGGCACCACTCGAAAGGTGTTTATCCAGCCTGTACGCTGGACTAACAATACAGTTGACCTGGGCGATCCTCTGCCAGTCGGTACTGAGATCAATCCACCGAGTGGCGAGTAAGATGATTCATAAGTAACTTGGCTAGAAGCAGCCGGTCATCTCTGAAAGAAAATGTTCAAAGCGCCGGATGAACATTGTGAACTAATATAACAATTAAATGTAACGCATAACGTAAAATACTCTCAACTATGCTCAATACTGGATATCGGTAAAGGGAAACTATGTTGGCGCCCACTTGTGACATAATGTACGAAGACAGACAGCTGCAGCAAGTGATACTAAAACGCCATATACCTATGGCGGCTTTCTCTCCTAGCCACATGTATAATAGAGCGTCGCTGCTGTGGGTGTATGACCAAGGCCAAGCTACTCGACTATGCCCTCACAATATCTCCAATACCTCGACTTGGCAATTATTGAGTCTAAAAGCTGTCATGGTCGCGCCTACCGCTACTATAGCCTTTCTCATCATTTAATTATCATCCCATATTTCTTCGAAGGCTTCAGACTGCCTCGGAGAGTTCTAGTAGGTAGTATTTGGTGGTTGCTACGTCCCATTTGCCTTACACGTCACGTTGTCGGTGCATTCTTGGGGTCGCGTGTCGTCAACAAACCTAGACGCTCCTTTACCTATGATGGAATTTCTCTCGTCTTGTGGAAATTCCATCTGTCTTCACCATCTATAGCCTAGTGAATATCTCCTCGCGGCCGTAATTGGATCGAGGATTACACTACCAAGGGCCACTGCGAACAAAATAGTGTCTACAGTCACACTTATATCTGATTCCAGGTATCTTTGCCCTAGGTACCAACAATTAAATGTCTTTCTTGTCTCCAAAAACACTCACGGCTGGCATGCTCACTCGCACGGCAAAGCTTCCAAGCTTACATGAAGCTCATCAATCATGCATTGAACTATGTACATATCAGAATATGGAAAGTGGGGCAATTTCTTAGTTGACATGCCTGGTTCAATGCCTCAGCATCATAATGTATGGAAAAAATAGATTTAATAGCCCGGGCTGTCTTGGAACTCTCACTTTTGAGTATGCCGGCCAATACACATCCTGGCTAATGCGGTTTCATGGCCGCTCTAAAGTTCTAGCTTGGTCAGGGTACAGACGGGAAAGCTTTCATCTCTCAAGCCGTGGAGACGAATGCCCGATCAAATTTCACCATCCCCCGAGAATATTCAGTTGTAATTTCTCCCTTAGTCGGATGAACAGATGGCCGGTTTTGGCACAAACAACCCTTGGCCGGTTGCGCGAAACCACTGGGCTGTATGATTCGAACCCATTCAGCCATCACTGGTCAATCTGGACAAAAGGTCTTTCGATCCTAGATACCTGATACTATTAATAATGCTACCTAGAACGTCTGATTTACGATAGAGATCATCAGGATGCACAGGATGGCAAATTTGTGCGAGCGGAATACGGACGAACCGGTGTAAGCGACGTCTTGTTTGTGACCCCTTTGAGCGACAAGGGTTTGAGGATCTCTCCTGGGCCAATAGTAGCTACGTAGAGGGCTCAGTCCTTGTCTATTCCTAATCGGGCTGAGAATAGCACCGACAGGTGACACTAATATAAATGAATGCGATCTTGCAACCCCAATGCCTGTGCAACTTGGGGTCATCCGGATCGAACCAGATGAACGTTGCCGGTGATGGTTATCCCTTTTTGTGCTAGAACTCCAATCTAGTCTTGGTTTTCGTCCCTGATTACATACCTATAGTTGAGGGCCCAATGTAAACTAGAGATGTTGCCCTGCAGCAAGGGAAGGCCAGCCGGTGGAATTTTCCCTGTCCGGAATCCTCTCCGTAGACGCGTATGACAACGCGAAGAAGGTATCACGCACCCTTCCGCGACACACAAAGTCCGAAGCCCCTTTCCTTGGCTGAGGACGATTATACGATAAGTGATATGCCGTCTTGACCACCCGGATTTTCAGGGTGTTATGCAGCTTTGAAGCTTATTTGTCTGTTTGGGACACTCTCGGCGTGGGGGCTGAGAGGTAGCCAATCGGGACTATCTCGTGATTTCAAAAGGTCGTGTCTAGGTAGGGTTCAGGGATGTGCCTTGATTTGTCACCCATTATTCTAGGAATTCCTGACTTCACTTTGGCCGGCTTCTTTCATTCTACCTAGTCACAGGGTTGTGTAGCGCCGGGTGTGACTAGAAATCGAGTTCTTGGGTTCATGCACCAGCACTGTGAAAGTCAACGGAGCGTTATTTTCAATAGTTCCCACTTGGCCGCAACACAAGACGGTTCGTCGCACCATTTAGATACAATGCATCGGGCAGTGAGCTTGGCAATCTAAGACTGGGATCCCAGGCGCATGGAGGCTGTGTCTATGTCCCACAACCATCACGCACACCTCAGCGTAAGTACGCAACGCAACACAATCAACGCAACAAACTAGGGTAGTCAAGACTACTCTAAGAAACGGAAAGAACGGATCATTTCAAGAAGCGATTCATGAGGTGAAACTCAACGCTAAGGTAGGGCGCGACCTCGAGCTTTGAGAATAAAATGGCCGCTCCTTTTCAGAGAGCCATGGGGCACAGCGGGTCACTTCGTAGCCGCAGTACTTCAACCAGCACATTGGATGTGGTCTACAGGGTGCAATTACGTGCAAGAATTGAAACTACAATTTCAAACGAAATCCACATGGACATGAAGTCTGGCCAGAAACCCTAACTGACCATTTCAGAACGGATAGTATTCCTTACTTTGCCGCTTTGAAATGCAATCCAGACGCAGGCACAGCCGCTGCATAAGTGAGAGCACGGTGCCGGATCTTACAACGTCTCTGCATTGTATGCCTATGCCGATGGCATTATTGGCTCAAGAGATACGTAGCACGGAGACGAAGATGAGGCCAAGAAAGCTGGGTCTGACACTTCGGACCACGAAATCGACCAAACCATACGGATGCAGAGCTTGTGCCAAGCGCTAAACAATCATCCGTTCGTCCGTGTCTACTTCTCGCTCTTATCCTAGCAATTGTGAGACTGAGAGTTCTTGGACTCTCGTTGCGAATATGAGTAGGGCGGAAGCGGGGACAAGATATGTGCCCTCCGATCCGCCATGAGGCGATGAAGGCTTGGGTAGGCCCTGTCGATTTAAGCTTAACACAATTCCTGGTGGCTATCGACCCCTACCTACCTTAGTTACCGGAATGTGATGCGTCTGCTCAACTATCAGGCGGTCGAGGTTTTGAGGCACAGTCGGTGAATCAGTATGTCGATTTGATGTGTGTAATGCCAGCCTGTTCCTCTGCAGTATCCCAAGCATGTGTCAAGTCGCTCCAACTCACACAAGCATACTGCTCTGGATATATTGAGTGGCCATTTGGTATGGGGAAGCTGCAATGTCTTCCATCTTCGCAAAGTCACGGCGCATAGCATTCGATGGGCTGAAATCAGAACTCAGCGAAGGTACAGGCATATTGATTGATGATTGAAGGTCTAGGCTAGAATAATTGAGGAGTACTCGAAACAAAGGTGTAAGAACCAAGTGAGAAATGAAAGATTGTCAATGTCACTCGAAGGGGTATCGCTTGCTCGGCGTACGATTTGAGTCTGATTTCATCACGCAGGAAGTCGAAAAGCTAATATCTCGCGAACTGTACTTTAGAAGAGGTTGAACAGACATCTCCTTCTCTTTCCTTGTCTGGCCCTTCGCTGATATTGTCGCTATCTTGGCCACTATGTTGTTGCTTCGATTGGGTGTGTATTGTAATCTCGGTTGTCCTTGTCGGGTACTCGTTGTTCGCTGGATAGTTTGTGTCCCCTTTCCCAATACGAACCTCATACTCGGGCTCTTCGGTGTTAGCGAAGTGTCTTGACCTTTCGCCGTTGAATGTCTCGAGTGCGACATCATGACCTTGTGCATTCCCTTGACTGCGCACGTAGGCGCTATTGTTCGAGGCCCCTCGTGTGACTTCGACCAGCAGATTGAGAATGCTGAACTCTAGCTTCAGTTTAACGCTGTATGCTAGAGGCTTCCAAGCCGTCTGGATATCATACAGATTGGTGAACTCGAGGGCCAGGATCGTAACGTCGAGAAGAATGACCAGAATATTCACCCAGATCAGGTGGCTCATGACCTTTTTGGCGCGACCATCACCGATGCTGTTCATTAGGCGTACGCGTTTGGTTGTTTCCCAAACGTATAGTGCAGAAATGATGATCTCTTGCACGAAGAAGACAGTGAGCTGGATCTTTTCAAAGATCTGATAAGGGGTTTCGAATGGTTCCGGATTCGCCGAGTTTACTCCATAAACCAGGATGATGATCGGGATATGCAGCCAGATTGCGTCGGCAATTATCATGTAAAGCACTAGTCGCAGACGTTTCCGGTCATGTACAACAATGTGCAGTCGTGAGTATAATACAACTGATTGTCCCGTGATCATTGAACACCAGCCGATGAGAATAAGGGTAGCGTAGATGATGGGCTTGGTCGTCAAGGACAGGTGTCTTAGTAGATAGCCGGTGCCATTGAAAGCTATGCCCCATGTTGCAATTAAGATACTCCAAAAATACAATCCGGAGCGTCTCTTGAAAGAAGTAAAGATTGAAACTGTGAGTTCGAGAACGTTGTAGAAAGCAATGCTGATGAACACACAAATGACGATGACGATGATGATTTCTTTTGTGTTAATGCTGCCGGCCTCTGTCATCGTCGTCAGCTGTCTTTGAGCTATTAGAAGTAATTGTTGGTTCGATGAAGGGATACGTCTGGCAGCAAGAAAAATCCAATCGAGGCAATGAACATGATTATTACATATTTATGAAGGGCACAGTTGTGCTCTCTGTAGATAAGCTAGGATCTCACGGTTCAAATTCAAGTTCTTAACCTGCATCATCGGGTGTTTCTGGCGGAACATGACAGGGAGGACATGAGTTGAATGACCAAGACCCTCTCCATTAGGATCATGTTGCGAAACAGCAACTTGGCATATGCCTTGGAGGTGCCGCGATCAATGTAGCACCAGAGTCATTGAAGCCTTACTACTTTTCCAAATTCGATCAAGTCGAACCACTGCCAAGACCCGGGGAACCAGTCCGTAGTAGCTAAAATTCGGAGTGGGTGTTCTGGGGGCAGCTTCATTGGCACGGTCGCATTCCATTCTTTTCTTCCTAGATCGTAGTCATTAATGGGCTAGTTTAGCGTCCCCACGCAACTGCAAATGTGACTATGCAATTTCACGCTTGCAGGGATTCATCAACGCGGGGAACTTGCAAAGTAGCATACAAAGCTCATGGTACCCAACCTCTGGAACTATCATCTCACTCGTTACACACCACAACCAACCACAACACACTCCTTGAAACTCAAAGAATAAAAAATGTCGCGCTCACTGGTGGTTGTCGCTGCTGGTTTTCTCATGCCCCTAGGTCTCAGCTGTGCAGCTGGAGTGCCCGCTGCAGCTCAAATCATTGACTGGAAGAGCTTCAACGTTCTTCCGACAGTGCTCCCTCCTGCAGAGGCCAACGACTCTACGGTTCTGAACCCCAAATCGGACTCTTGCGGCTTATTCTTTGCTTACTTTTTCGTAGCTTTTCCTGTGGCCCGGCGTGACGAAAGAGTCTCTTGAAGCCAAACCCTTCCATATTTATGACCCCGAGTTCTACGATGTCATTGGACAAAACCCATCGCTGACGCTGATTGCTACCTCTGACACGGATCCCATTTTCCATGAGGCCGTTGTCTGGAATCCTCCTACGGAGGAGGTCTTCTTCGTCCAGAACGCTGGCGCTCCTGCTGCAGGTACTGGGTTGAATAAGTCATCCATCATCCAGAAGATCTCACTTGCGGAAGCCGAGGCCGTGCGAACAGGTTCCAGGGCTAATGCTACCGTCACCGTTGTCCCTTCATACCCGCAGGTCATCAATCCCAACGGTTGGTCATTCCATAACCTCAACTCAACATGACATCGAGCTTACATCAGCAGGTGGCACAAACTACAAAGGCAACATCGTCTTTGCTGGTGAAGGACAAGGTGAGGATATCACTTCGGCACTGTATCTGATGAATCCAGTGGCTCCTTTCAACACCACAGGTCAGCTCGGCTTGCCCCAGATCCAAGATTACGCGCATGAAACTGATTTCTGCAGTCCTTCTGAACAACTACTTTGGTCGTCAGTTCAACTCACTCAATGACGTTGTCATCAACCCTCGTAACGGGGAGCTGTACTTCACCGACACCCTGTACGGCTTCCTCCAGGATTTCCGTCCCCCGCCTGGCCTGCGCAATCAGGTCTATCGCTACAATTTCGAGACCGGTTCTATTGCTGTCGTTGCTGATGACTTCACTTTGCCAAACGGTAAGTTACTCGTCATTGGGAAAGATGCAAGTCTCACAACCACTAGGTCTCACCTTCTCACCTGATGGCCAGAAAGCCTATGTCACTGACACAGGCATTGCCCTCGGATTTTACGGTCGCAATCTCTCGTCTCCCGCCTCAGTCTACTCATTTGACGTGAATGAAGACGGCACCTGGGAGAATCGCAAGACCTTTGCTTACACTGCCGCTTTCATCCCCGATGGTTAGTATTTTGCTTCTGCAGTCCAATTTCGGAATCTGACTCTGTATAGGTGTTCACACTGACTCTGTTGGCCGTGTCTACGCTGGTTGTGGCGATGGTGTTCATGTTTTCAATCCTTCCGGCAAACTTATTGGTAAGATTTACACTGGCACAACAGCTGCCAATTTCCAGTTCGCTGGGAATGGCCGAATGATCATCACTGGACAGACGAAGCTGTTTTATGTCACACTTGCGGCGTCGGGTGTAGCCATACAGTAGTCCAGAAAGAGAGTTCGATTGAGCACGCGTTGTTTTCTGGAAGATACTTTTTATAACGATATGGTGCGGTCCATGTCAAACCTTGCCTGTCTGCTTCTCTGTCTGCAGAATGTTTTGCATTCTCGGTAAAAATGCTTTCTAAATGTCTATGATCTTTTCTCTAGTCAACCAGTCGCCCCATTTTGTACTCATAATACATAATCATCCCTTCACCAAGACGCCCTAACGAGCTGAGGGTATTGCGATTGCATCTTTTCCTGAGGTGAATGTGTTGGTGATAGGTTTTTCCTTTCGATAGGGACCACCAGGTAGATGTATGAGCTTTTCCTCATCGACGACGTATGTAGTTGACTGTATGTGTTTCTTTCCATCCGTCATGTCACCTTTTATCGTCACGAGACTAAATTCAATCTTCTCAGGACAGCAGACTAGGTCTTCTAGAACAGCTACTCGCTCGCATCATTCTACTTATCTCTATCAAGCCCCATAGAACACGACGCTTTTTAGCTGCCTATATCAAGATATCTCATCCCGCATAGCATGCAAAATTCGTTCTGTTGTCAATCATGTGCTATTGTCTCAACAAAAGCGAATTGACGCTCGAAAGACGTAATCTTTCCATAACAATACTCTCATGCTAAGTAAAGACTTCAGCTCTTTGAGAGCCATTATTACATGTTTCAACCAAATCTCTGAGGTAATGACTAAGAGATGTCTAGCGTGATCTAGACTTTCTTCTAACTCATACTGTCTTGGTGCCGAGGACTAGAATGCTCTGGATCAAGGGTACAGCATTTGCTTGCGTGACCTGGAAGCGGACACTGGAGGTCTCCACGGCCGCTTCGAGTCTGTGAATCCGTTTATAGCCAAGTGAAGTGCCGTTAACAACGGTCTTGAAAACTCCGTTAGCAACACAGTCAATGGCATAACCGCCGACTCGCTGGCCGAGTGCAATGTGCTCTTGGAGGACGAAGGCATCGACGAGCACCGTGCCACCCAAATCAATCTCGATCCAGCCGGTACGTTCCCCATCTTCCATGGTCCAATAAGTATCAAGTGAAGAGGTCAGAACGTTTGCAGGGCCGAACGTGGTAGAGTTGATCCCGCCTCGAACGCTACTGGCTGTTACAATTGACTCGGGACTGGTCAAGTTTCGACCAAGGAAGGCGTCTCTGAGACTTTTAAACTCCATGAGAGCATTGATGTCCTCCTGTGTAACTTGGCCAGTTGTATCCGGCGGCACGTCGAGCAGAAGACTGACGCTCCGCCCAACAGACTGCAAATACATGTCCAAGAGCTGCTGTCCCGTCTTGGGCTGTTCATTGGCGTGCCAGAACCAGCCGGTGCGAACCCGAGCGTCGGCCTCAGCAGGGGTCCAGTACAGTCCATCTCGCAGCCCTATCTCGAGATCTGTTTCGCTCAGGCGATCTTGGTCCTGCGTCCGGCTGATGGTATGCCAATTGGTGGGGATCGTGACGCCTTCTTCGTTGCCCACCCATCGAGCGTCCACGCCTTGGTGACCCCACATGACTGCCGCTGGTTGGTGATAGCGGATGATGTCCCGGAACCCGGCCCAGTCAAAGCTTTGAACGGTGCTGGAGCCGCTGGCGCCGTCCAGCCAAATCTCAAACAGCGACACGGGGCTACCGTCTTCAAGAGTCATGTTGACGAGTTCCGTGAGTTGACGGCGGTAGAGATCGTTGTAGTCGCCTGCAGTATCATCACCGAAGATCTGGGGCTCATCGTAGATAGTGCCGTTGAGTAGTGGTTTGGGCATAGCTGGGTCACGGTGGATATCCCAGGGTGACAAGTAAACGCCAAACTTGAGATTAAATTTCTTGGCTGAGACGGCTGCCATGCGAACCACATCCGCTTGCAGCCCGGCTGCTGAGCGATTCTTGGCCCAGCCGCCGTTGGCAATTTTGTAAGTAGTAGTTGAGGTGTTCCACAGCGCCATGCCATCGTGGTGTTTGGCCGTTAAGATCATGCCGGACATGCCCGCATCGGAAAAGGACTTTGCCCACTGGTCGGTGTCGAGCGCCGTCGGATTGAATACGTCAGGAGTTTGCTGGCTTCTACCCCATTCCTCATCGGTGAACGTGTTGGGCCCAAAGTGGATGAAGGCGTAGTACTCCATGCGGTGCCAGTCGAGCTGACGTTGGACGGGGAACTGCAGAAATTCGGCTGGAGGAGCGATAACCTGGCCATTGACCTGACCGATGGCCAGCATGAGGCATGCGGCCATCACGAGCAGCATCTCACGATACAGAGAGCTCATTGTTTTGCTTAGCCGCCCCAAAAGTCGAAGCATGGCGGTGAATGAATGCAGTACTGGCTGGCCGGCTACTTTTGGGGCATGATATGGTAGTCGATCTCTCAATCTTTTTGGGGTCACTAGCTGTTTATGGTCGGGACTTTAATATATTAAGAGGTGGTTTCCCCTCATTTGCACGGCTACGTGGTTTATGCTTGGCCGCTTGAAATGCAATGCCCCACTCCGTCTCGGTGGTGATGTTACCTCACCACAAGCTTAACTTCCTAACTGGGCAGGGAGACTTGTCCATGAAACGTCACATGCGAGCTATTGCCTTTGGAAAAGGCAATTTCTTTTGGATCTTGTGTTATCTATGCCCTCAAAACGCATTACCTGACGACTGGATTTGTTACCAAGACCGACTGTCATTTACGGAAGAAACGACAGGATAACTTCTATCTACTCATCTTTGTCTTTGACTTTTGCTAACGAGAGGCAGCCCATGTGTCCCGCTCACTAACCATTGAACGTGCGTTTCCTAAAACATGCTTCGGCACCATACGTTGCTGACTGCTCTCGAATGTAAACCATGAATGAGTACGTACGACGTCGTCAAATGGGACCGGCCATTAGTTACCAACTCAATACGTTCATTTGACTTCACCATTGCAATGCGTAGTGCAGTTGTGTGCGTCCAGCATTTCAACTATTAATTTACGCCGATGTGAGTGGGTCGCCTCTTAGATAACCAAATCTTCTTTTGGTTACTTTTGTTCTTCTAGCGTGTTATGCACGTGCTCGTAGCTAAACACCCGGGGAAACAACACCAGCCATACCAACCTTGAGCTAATACACTTTACTCCAGCCAAAATTTCTCTTAGTGCTCCAAGTGCGTCTCGCTTCTTACTGATATAGCTCGAAGGCTCGGAGGGTATCTTTATAGGAACAGTCAATGGGTAAACGCGATCAAAAAACGTTATATACAACACCAGGTATTCGCTAGTCTTCACCGACCCAACTACTAATCCGGCCCTCATTAGCTAATCTACAGGAGAGCGGACGGGATCCCGAGTTTTCCAATGAGTATGGTGGTATGTGCTGTAGGGACTGGCAATACATTAATATATTGGGACTACATCCATTAGCAGGTATAGATGGCAAGAGGTTTCTGGCTCCTTACTACTCGACATGAATCTTTTCGCCAAGGGAGTGTATCCCAGTATAAAGCAAAAGTATAACCTTTGCTCTTGGCTGTATGGGTTTGAGATATGTGGAAGCATGACGAAGATTGGCGCTTGGAAAAATTGTCTAGTTTGTTGCAGTCTCGTATTCATAGCATACCTCTCATACTATTTACCATCTTCTATAGAAGGCTGAACTATTTAAGAGACCTCACCACTAATCAAGATACGTGATCTCGGCTCTATAGTCCCTAAGATCCATATTCATTTCCCCAGTAGATCGCATCCCGACTTTCATTTCCATTATTGACTTCGACTGGATACTTCGACTAAATAATCGGTCTCATTACGCATCTCGATGCCAGTATCGTAGCTATACAACATCTTTCTAAAATCCGATACACGAAGTTCTAAATCGGGTGTGAATTTTCCTTCTCGCCTTTGGAGTTTTCCTACAAAGATTTAGGTGACATTTTCTTTCTTTTAGATCAACTAGAAAGACTATTCAGCTAGGTATAGAGTGAAACAGGACATATATGGCGGAGAAGCGGCCCGAAAGTATCCCAATATAGTTTTATAGGGCTCAACAACCCTAAGTAAACCGCAAAGTATAGCTGCATATTAGACATTAGTATCGCATACTGGCGTTAGATACAAGAGAAGAGCGGAAAAAAAACTTGAAACATTATATCGCAGGTTCGACACAGTAGCTCTAAGAGGTGTATTGTTGGATCGGCCACGGTTTCGGCTTCACTCAGTCTTCTGTATACCTGTTTCCCGTCAAGGAGACACGTTTTATATACTGCAGATTCCTCGGCTCAGGTATCTTTCCATTATATAGGACGAGTTGCGACGTAAAAGGTAATTACGGAGCAAAGCTCTGAGCAAGTAATTAGCATAGCGGGTTTGGCCATGGCGCATTTGAGCATCTCCGAGTTCATGATTTACCTCACTTGCTGTCCAGGAGACGTGTGCCATATATACTCATGAAACTGCCATGCATGCTATCGTTGTAATAAACTCTCACTGGCCCCATTTGTATGTCTCCAGCTCGTAAGCAAAGTGCCTATCTTCTGACTCCCAATGCCGCCTTGTGCTCTTGCTGGGGTTATTGAATCAAATAAGCATATGGTTGTATAGATCTTTGGGGAGTGGACAGAAGTCTCAAAAACCGCATTTTTGACTTCTCCTGTCATGGTGGACTAAGTTCAGTTAGGTTCTCTGATATCCACATTCGTCCGTCTCATAAGATAACGCATAAGAAGTTCAAGTGCTTCATCGTACCGAGTCATTGGACAATGACACGAAATAAAACCAACCGCGCAATCATGTTGTCATCTCTGAGTGCTGCATGTGCCCAGAGGGCATTGACCAGGAAATCTCGCCTAGTTGGAAACGACACCATTCAATATGAACGCGGCTGGTCTAGGGCCACGTTGAATAAGACTCGTGATCAAGTCAAAAATCACAATTGAAGATAAAGAAACATGATCTGGTGAGGGCCGTCAGTTATTGAGCTTTTCCAGGACAGTCTGGGTTCCTAGGTATATTGAACACAAACAAGGAAAGTCGCGTTTTTAGACTCGCACCCTGTCGTTGCAGACAACATGGGCATAGATATCCCATCGGCTGCTGTATAACGTCAAGATATACACCTCTAGTCTTCTCCGATACTTATCTGACATGAGACTTTTACTTAGGTGCACTAACTCGAAATAAAACGGCTACGATACCAAATGAACTGAATCAACACGCGATTCATACTTGGAGTCTCGTAAGCAGTACGTCCCTACAAGTTTCACATGATCAAGCGGTCGATAGAATACGTCCTAGAGGTGGACTTTCTAATGAGTTGCGAAAGCTTAGTAGCACCCGCGTTGTGCACCGAACGAAATTCGCACCCTATGAAATTGACCACCACCGAGTCTTTTGACCTCTTGCACCTAGCGCTTTGCTCCATCATCTTCCTCTTGCCATCTACCTTTGTTTTTCCCGTGTTTGCCAACACCGCCTTGTTTCGGTCACCCTCTGAGTGCAATGCGACTCCTATGGCGGCGTGCTCAATACTGTGAAAGCCAGGTCACAGCAACGAGCCACGCAGCCAACTACAGCATCTAACGCTGACATTTTGGTTTTGGGGGGATCTCTTTTCAAGTTGATTATCAGGAAACTAGAGACATAGATAACTAAGCCTTCTACACAATGAAAACCCAAATTTGCGAAGGCTGGCAAGGGGTCATATTAGGGCCAGCACTCAAGCAGACACGCAGCGACCGAGCCGCTACAACTCGTCCTTTTCAACAAAATCAGTCGCAGCAGCACCAAATGTTTTCTCGTCCGCCGCTGCACCCATAAGTTCGCCATATGCATCATCCGGATTATCTCCGATGCAATGATGGCACCAGAACAAATTGCCTGGGTCGTGCGCCTTCTTCACAGCCAGTAACTGCTCGTACGTCTTTTGGCCCCAGTACCTCGCCGTCCAGTTATGCATCACATACGAGCTCTCGGAGAAATAGCTGTTGGGACCGAGTTTGTACAAAGTGTTGTCAGACTGCTGCGTCGTCAGGGTGCGCGCGTTCCACAACATGAGCGCCGAGCGGAAGCCCGGCGAGATGGCCGTGCCGCCCGGCTGCGGGCTTCCGAGGTTGCCCGTCAGCGACGTGTAGAGGTAGTGGAATCCGCAGCGATAACCGTCTGAATCTGGCGACGTCTTGTCATTTTGCTCCAGAGTCTTGACGCAAATATCCAGCACATTCATCATAGTCGAGGCGAACTCTGTCTCCATGGCTCGTCGCGAGACAAGGACGGAATTCTGGGACCCTGTGGCCGCGTCGGAGGGCGGGTGCGGTGCCGGCAATGGGTTCATCACGGAGAGGAGGAACTTGTTGGGGGGCATGGTCAGAAGGTATTCATACGCCGACTTGAAATTGTTTTCCTGCGTGGCCTCGGGTTTGGTCTGAAGCACGTCTACGAGGCTGTCGCGGAATAGGATGTAGTCCTGATCTGTCTGACCGCCGGCGTAAAAGTACTCAAAGTTGAACGTCCAGGTGACCGAGCAGAGGTCTCCGGTCGCCTTGTACTGGCTGGGGTCGATAAAGAAGGCAGGCTGCGTGCTGACCTTGGAATTGAGTCTCAGCTGCCATGCAGTGAAGCGAGTCCACATGTCGCGCAGCCACTGGTAGCCAAAGTCGCGCGAGTCCTGGCAAAAAGTGCCACTCTGGTTCATGAAGACGCGGCTGAGGCCTCCATCCGGAACGACGTGGGCGCGGATCGTCATGGAGAGAATGACGCCCCAGACACCGCCGCCGCCACCGCGCATGGCCCAGAAGAGCTGCGGGTTGTGATGACGACTGGCAATCTTCTTGTGCACTACGGTCTGGCCGTTTGCATCGTGGCCAACTTGCAGAACCTCAATTTCGAGCAGGTTATCAACACCTAGACCCATAGATGGCGCAAAGGGCCCATGGCCGCCGCCGAGATGGAAGCCGACCATACCAACCGTGGAGCACCAGCCCGAAGCCACGACGCGGTTATGTTTGGCCGAGAAGGCGTGCATCTCGGCAAAGATGGAGCCGGCGCCGAAGCGGAATGCACCGGCAGGGGCCAGGGCCTTGTCCTCGTCCCAGGTCGGCAAAAAGGACTTATCCTTGAGCAAGATTGTGCGGACCAGGATGCCGCCAGTTGGGCATGAGTTGCGGCTGTTGTACTCGTGACCAGTACCAGCAGTGGCGATACACAGACGGTGCTGCGCGGCAAACGTGAGAGCGGCGGCAATATGACGCTCGTTGAGCGGAAAGACGACAATGAAGGGATTCCAGTTGCGATACTCGTTCTGGTGCAGCGCCGCCTTGCACATGTCAGACGCCGTGTTCCACACGGAAGCGCCAGCTTCCAGAACGAAGCACGGGCGCTGCATCTCGGCAACGTCCTCGTAGTAGTACAGCGCCTTGAGACCCTCAGGTGCATCACCTAGGCCGTAGAAGGACTGTTCGTTGATGGATCCCGTTGGGACCGGCGCTGGCTGCGGCTGCGGGTATTTGCTCCACCGGACGCCGAGCCGGGGCACGGTGGGGTCCAGCGCCTGCTCTAACTTACGGATGGCTGTCTTGGTGGGCCAGCAGCTAGAGTCTTGAGGCGTGCACCAGTCGTGGCGAAGTCCGCCATTCAGTGTTTCAAGACGCGGCGAAGAGGATAGGGCACCGGCGGATGATGCTGTTTCTGCATGTATCGACTCGGCCGGGTCGCACGAGACGGCGCCGCAGAAGTCATTCTGAGGGCCGCACGAGTAGCGGCAGTGGGCATTGCACGGATTGCACCGGCCCATAGCCCATTGCGTATTCAAGCTTGGCATATTCTTCTTGTTGTTTACGAATGCTGCCGGCTGATTCGGCGCCCCGCAGTCTAGCACGGCATATGAGTACACCGGCTGGAACTGGAACTGGAAGCGACATGTGGTGATATCACCGTTGGCGCTGGCAAGGAGCACTACGCTGGGATCCTCATCCGAATGCGAGACTGAATAGTGCTGCACGCCGCGGAAGGGATAGTTGGGCCACTGTAAGGACGCTTGACCGTCGGCAGTGAAGTTCCATTGCGCGAGGCCTTCTTGATAGTGGCTGGATACCTGCAGTGTGCGCCACGATCCCAGCAGCGCGGGAAGTGCCCCGGCAATGCCATGTTCAGAGTGGCTAACAGGGCTGATGGGCTTAGAGGCAGCCTCGGGCTCGATGTTGGTCTTGGTCTCCTCCTTGGGCTTGGTGGCAGCCGCCGAGATGCCGTCCGGAGAAAAGGAACATCCTGCCGCTGACGTCTTACAGCGGAACATGAGAAAGTTGCCGCACTCGGGCGTATCCATGGCGGCATAGAAGCTGGCCGGCGCCGGCTCTCCAGTGTGGTTGCATGCCAGAAATGCCACCTCGAGCTCGCCAATATCTGGCAGCCGTGACACTAAGCAGTCCTCCACGTGGGCCTTTGCGCCGCTGCCGCATCGCAGGACCAGCTCGCCGGCGCCGCGCCGTTCGTAGGTGCACGTCTGGGGGTATGGACTGTCTGTGGTAACGGTCATGACGTTCTGGTTGTCGATGTCGGTGAAGCTCTGCGCGAACTCGAACTTGCCGGACCCGAGCTGCTCAGCGCCAAATGAGCGCCAGGTGCCCTCCCAGGGGGAGATATTGTCGCTGCTCGTAAGGGCCGGCATAGCAAAGTCCAAATTTAGCATCAGGAAACTTCCGTTTCCGATGCTTTCGCTGTTCACGCTGTCAACCTCCTCCTGCTGCGGTGCGTTGTTGGGGTCAAGCTGAACGGTGCTGTTCAGCTGCGCCGGCGGGCATGTGTCCCAGGAGTCACCACACGCAAAGCACTGGTCGATACAGTCACTCGACATGCGCGGCATGCTCTCTCTGTCGGTGCCTGTCCAGCCTACGGTTGCCAGATACGCGCACTGCACGCAGCCGGTGCTAACAAGCGGCTCGTCCTCCTTTCTAATCTGCAGGCGATCACGTAGCACGGCATTTTCGTTGATCTCGTTGACCATCACAAATGCTGTGCGGAAGTAGGCCTCCTGCGGCATCCGGAACGCCGAACCGTCAGCGCCAGGGATGACTGCGCAAGTGCCATGCTTCATCCACTCGGACATGATGAAGCATTGCATGGTGTTCTTGAACTTTGAATTGGTCGGCCAGAAGTAATTAAGCAGGCCAGCAAAGGTCGTGAGGATCGTCTCGTCAAACTCCTCGCCATTCAGGCAGCCGTAGGGTTGGTTCTTGGCACCGGTGCCGCCAGACGACCCAGGCCAAAGTCCGTGTAGCGTGATGTCGGCCGCGTGCTCGGCAAAGGTGTTCCTCTGTACCGCCAGCGTGTAGGCGTCGATGGGAATGAGCCCGGCCGGCTGGCGCAACGAATTGCACAGCGAGTAAGGTGGTGGCTTCTGCTGCAGACCGCCGTGCTTGTCTCTGGTGACGCATTTGCTCTTCCACTTAAGGTCGCACGTTTTGGGGTGGAAGTTGAGCTCGTTGAAGCGTCGCAGCGGGATTGGGTTGGAGGAGCAGTCGTCCGACTTGCCGGAGCACCACTGCGCGGTGACCAGGCTGATCAGGGTCAGCACCAGCGCAAGTTGCGCATGCCAAGCCATGCCTGCTTGCCGATGCATATTGCCGGGTTGATGTCGTTTGTTTTTTCTATCGATGCTACTGTTTCTCTTCTATCTTACTGTTTAGGTATCTAGGACAGGAATTTCAGACGGACGTGGCGACTCTATATATTTCGTAGAAGGTATGCCCCGATCCTCTGCCCATTCATCGCCAAATGCCAATTGCCAGACTGCTGTATCCGTAGTCTGCGCTTGAAAACGACGGATCACACTTTCCTGTATGATCAAACATCTTCTGGTTATATCTTGACTGCCGAATCCGGTCTCATGTTCTTGCCAAAGTCAAGGGATGCATCTCTGCTCTAGCAGGCTGGAATAGGCCGGAGCTGTCACACATTCTTGCATTAGAGCCACCTCTACGTTCAGTCATGGCATCTCACGTATCAACGACCAATTGCCATCTCTGATGCCAGCAATGATCCCAGGGACCTAGAGCTGAACGTGAGAGCTAAAGTTTTGCTAGCGGCCTTTAGCTGCTGCGGCTGAGTCCGCAACTATCGCAAGCGGCAGGTGAGTGAGCTGTTTCTTAGGGCGAGCTGAGATGGGTTGGGTCGATTAACACCAAATCATTCGAGGCGAAACTCACGTGGGTGAGACAGTAGTCGAGGCCCAAGCCACGAAAGGACCGAGGACCCAATCCACAACTCACAGCGATTCAGAATCCCGCCCAGGCCTGTTGGCTCACCACGGTTCATCGCGTGCCGTGCCGCCTCGATTCGCCCAAACGCTTGGCGGGCGTGCAATCAAGTGCTAGGAAGCAGATTCTAGATACATTCCAGCCAGGGCTTCCGCACACATGGAACATAATCTCTTGTCCCCTGAGCATCCTCTGCCTGTTAAGTTGCCGCGAATTTGTGGTCAGCCAAGATAGGACATTTTCTACTATCATCATGGTTCCTGGACAACCAAAACTGGTTTGAAGGACGGAAAGGTGCCTTCTTTCCGTAATAATCAGAGGACCGCCGCCGAGATCCGACAAATTCCTTGGCACTAATTCCACCTGCAGCCATTTTGATGCCAAGGGCAAGATCCGGCCACCTTCCCGTGCTGCAGTAAACCGTCTCGGAAACGTGAGCGTCTATCATTAGCTCGGATAGAAACGTATGTATTCGAGACGAAGTTGGGTTGACAGCTTCTTTCTCTCTGCGCCTTTTGATACTTCCTTGAATGGAAGAATGGGAAGGACTTTTGGGCATCAATCCATCAATGCGAATCACTGCGGTTCGGGGAAGTGCTGCCAAGATGGGAACAGGGCGATTCGCAAGGAGATACGAGGTAGGGGATCTCACTACTGAAGACTGACGACTCGAAGTCAGCCACAAGCCCACTACTTCTATAGTCAATGACTTGATCCGAACAAAGCTCTATGTCGCCCAGCCTTCAAGACTTGCTAGAATTCATCACGATGGCCATTCCAGACTCCACGAGCGGAAAGTTGCTGGTGCCATAGGGGATGAATATGAAGTGGCTTCGCGAAGTCCGAATACGAGCTCTCGAAAACGGCAATCCGTCGTATGGAGCGGGCTATCGGCAACATTGACACTTGTCAGGGTACCAAGGAAATTTTAGGCTTGGCCTTCGTCGAGAACGTGGTTCATGTTAGGCTGTTAGCAAAGTTCTAGTTCAGCTTGCCACGGTTTGTCGCGCCGTGCCGCATCTAGAGCGGCTGAGGACAGCCTATAGTTAGCACCGCCGCTAAGCTCGTTAGTTCGTGAACCCTACCAAGACGATTTGTGCGGGGTAAGAGCCTCATTGAAAGTTTGAAACATTCAATTCAGTCAACCTTCATATCAGGGTTTTCAGCTTGCCTCGGATGTCTTAGACATAATGATGAAAACAGTGTTAATTTTTTGTTCTATTCCGGTCACCATAGATAACTATGATGGGCTGACTGTCAAGGCCAGTTGCCAGCGGTAGAAAACTACAACGCCAACGGCTCTAGAGGGTTGTACCGCCGTATTAGGCCGTAATGCTTGGCGCGCCGTTAGCCATATATGCAAATGTGGTTATGTAAGATACGTAGGGATACGGTAATTGAGCTGATTCGAAATCAGATGGATCGAAATAAGCTGGGGGCAAACGAAACGTCGGCAAAACTCCCGTGGATCTTCTTGTAGCCTTCCTAAATTAGTTCTTTTCCCTTGAACTTATAAAGGTGTTATATGTTACGAGAAAACGAATACCATTGGAAAGCTCTTTAATAGATTTAAGACAATTAGGCTGCAAAGAAACGAATTAAACCCTTTACTTGCTTTAATATATAGCTAGGCTTAGTCCTGCTACTACTCCCTCCACCATGAACACCGAAAGCCTCCTAGACTATCTGACTATGCTAGAGAAGACAATCCCTAGCTTTTACTGCTGTGTTGGTAGAAGTATAAAGATCGTTAGCCCTCTTCTAGCTAATACCTACGGGTATTCTGTGCCTGGCGTGTAGGAACCTATTCCTACGTCGGTTATGGCCCGCGACTACTTTGCGAGGTACGAAGCAATTCTACTTGGATTCTGTACGACGAACTAGTACTTACCTTAGTAATGCTTAGTGACCAGACTTGGGAGAGCATACTAGCCCATGGAGACTTTGATTACATCGTTATCGGTTTAGGCTTTACTGCTCTTGCCTTTATTAGAAGGCTGTCGAACTCGACCCCTATGTCAAGATCCTTTGTTTGGAGCGTGGAGGTAATGACTCCTTTTTGAACTACTGTGCACCTTTATATGAGTGCTACCGTCTCATATTTAATTTCTTACAAGCTTTTAGCTTCCCTCCCCCTTTTAGAATTTACTAATTCTTTTCAAAATGATTCTGGGATGACCCTCTGAGATATTTCCCTGGACCCTCTCACGTAAGACCTTCGAAACACGGAGCTTGGGTTTTGCTACGGCTCTTGCCCATTTTTCGGTGGCCGATCTACATTTTGGTCGGCTTGGAGCCCGAGACCGAGTCTAGATCTCATGCGCGACTTTCCCGAGGCTATGAAAAAGACTGCTGAACACGAATGGTTCTAGGAAGAGGCCAAGAGGCTCTTGAATGTCACACCCGCATCTTAGATCAATGATGGCGTTTTGAAAGCCTACAAGCTGCATTGATCGCATTCTCAAAGATTCAATTAGCAATATTCCTACTGCGAACTATGTTGAGTTAGCCCCGCTTGCCGTCGGGCGACGTAACCCGACTTCTCGTCTGCGGTTTGATAAGTTTTCTGTTCTTGGGTATCGTCTTGGCATCTTGAAACGATAGAGATAACTAGCTAAAGCTAATAATGGAGCGCCTTTGGAAACAAAAAGTTGACTGTGCGGTGAAAAGTATGGAGAAAGGTGACGAAGATGATTGTGTCCGCATGATCGAAACCAGCAAGGGCACTTTATTGTGGACTGGTAATAAGATTCAGATTATCCTTTACGCTAGAACGGTCCCTAATGCTACTATATTGCTTAACTCTTTTGAGAGTTGCCGCGATACTGTCGGTGAGAGATTTACTGGCTACTACGATATATATATTTCTGTACGATGTCCCGTAAAGAACGTTAAGGGTTAGAAGAAGTAAGAGATACTTAAGATTGCTACTGTATACCTTGCCGGTAAAGAACCTAAGACTGGCCTATAATATTACGTTTCGGTTACGGCGATTTCTAAGAATGATGCAAAGAATGCGGCTCGCAAATTTCCATATTATGCTGCTGCGGCGACCCTTGATTAACTCATTGGCTCTGAGGACTACGTTGTGTTTGGTATGGAGCTGTCTTTTGTAATATAGACGATCGAAGCTAACCTGGTACTGTTTAGTCTGCTCGGCTCTTGGAGAGTTTAGCGAGAAGAATAATAAGAATTATGTCGCTCTTAATAAAGGCACTGACCCGACTTGAAACGTTACCTTGCAATACACCTTGAGCGACGACGATCGTATCTCTTGGGACGTGATGGATGAGGCAACCTTTAATACTATTATATAAATGGTAAGCGGTAATGAATACGAGCCGAGTATTGAATGGTGGGATGAGATAACTTATAGCTGGATTAAGACGAGGCTAGTAGTCGATACTATTCCTATACTTGGTATTGTCTACGAGTTAAGTACTTGTTTTATAGGACCGAAGGAGATTGTTGGTTCCGTGGATGAGCTTTATCGTCCTTAAGGGATTGAGAATATTTACGTTACTAGAGCTGCCCTTTTCCCGACTGCAGGTAGTTAGAACCCCACTATGACTATGTATAGATATGCTTTAGGCTTAGCTCATAAGCTATATAAGATAAAGCCTTAATAGAGCGATTAAAGGGAGAGATCGCGTTGCGGGGTGATTCGCTGCGATATACTATTAGTATGGATCTTTATATTACTTAAGCTCTAGTGGAGTAGATAGGAGTAGATTGACGATATTTAAGAGGCTACCTCGCTAGGTTAGATGGTCAAATTCGATATTTATCCTAATCTTAAGTATCTAGTCGTAATTAACGAGAGAGTCAGCTCGTAGATATTTTTGGAGGAATGAATGGTTAAAGTAGTGATCCATTGTAGTAAGATCTAGCGCTGAAACTTGAGCTTAAGTATGCATGTTGACTGCCTTATGCATGTTGTTTTAGTGAGGCTTCTGGGACGAGCAGTCTGGCGAGTCCGGCGTTCTGGGACGCCTTCTTCTTCGCTGTAAAAAGACTGTTAAACCGAGGTCATGTCGGCCCTTCCGCGGTGAACTCAGGCCAAATTAATTGAGTACTTTGAAACTGGAGGAATTTCCTTCGTTCTCGGGCTTTTGTGGCGGTGCCGGAAGAAGATCTGTATGGTTGGAGTCTGGGATTATAGTCGTTTCATTAGGGAAGGCTAGCTGAACGATCGAATAGCCTCTCCACATGGTACATGCGGATAAACGTCCAGTCTGTGCACGTAGGCTCGAGATAGTGACCTGTGGCGAGAATGGACTTGACTATACCCTCCCTCCTAGACCTGGGCAGAGACGTTAGTAAGTAGACGAATCGTGGCGGAAGGCTACGTGATATTATAAACGAGGTAGATTCAAGAAGGACTTAATAGTATCGCTAGTAAGGATTATAAAAGTCTGCGGCTAATATAAGGTCTTCCCCTGAGCGGATGAGCATAACCGATGATAAGGAGTGTATTTAATAATATATGGCGTTATTTTTATACCTTGGACGGCTAGGTTACTTATCTCAATACCCTATATCCTCGTTATTAACGAGTATGGGAATGTCTTGGGATTCCTTAACCGCAGATATCTCTCTAGACTAGGGTAACCTTAAAGTATATTGAGACTCTCGTCATAGACACTGCCGTTGACCGTAAATTCTGCGCTGTATATCGAAGAGAGACCTAATGATTTGCTTCTTGGTATTGCGCTCGAAGGGACTTGTCGGTGGTTGCATAACGCCTTCGATCAAGGCAAAATTTCCATTGAGTGTCGCTTTCAGAAGACCCTAGCTAGTTTCTTACTTCCCCTTTTTACGTTGGGCTAGTGGCATGATGTAGGTAGGTATAGAAAGAGAATAGTAGGACAAGGTAGAAATTGTGCTTGGTTCCAAAAGTTGTGGTGAAGATGCTGACGGGAGGAAGTTGAAACTATGTGGCCACCTGTGGTGAATATGAAGATGAAGAAGGGAAATTTCAAGAGCACGATGCACTTGTTAATGCGCCGGAACTATGAAAATCAGACCTCAGCTCCCCATCCCCCGTCACCAGCACAATGTCAAAAACTGTATTCCATCCGTTTGCCGCCAGAGGAATCGTTCTAGTGAATTCCACAAAACCTCTGATATGTGCGCTACCCATAACCATCGGTGTGCTCTCAGTTTGCAGCCTGGGTAACATTATGTTCTGCTGATGAACTCGGTGCGTGAGCTCGAGATAGACATCGCTGCCAGCCGACAGCAGATCCTCTCGGACCATAGCTACAACATTTAAGGTCATGTTTCCATCGGCTCCGGGGTTAGTATCCAAGCAAGACCTATCTGCCGCATAAATCAAACCGTCAGTCACTGGGAATCCGCCTGTACCACCGTTGTCAAAAGTCTCGACTTGGCCAGTAGAGAGGTCCGTTAATTGTACGTTGAAGCCCGAGATTCCAGTAGCTGGATCCAATTGAGTATTAAAGTGAAACCAGGCAAAAGACTCTCCAAAGAAACCCGTGGACAGCCCACCCTGGAAACGATCTCGTGAGGTTTGGATGAGTGTTCGTTGTCCGTTGCGTTGAGAGATGTCAATAGCAATGCCGAATCCCTCCGGGTCGCGATTTGTTGTACGCACGCGGATTCGCCCTTTAAAGATGATTGCTGTGCCGTCATTGCTAAGGTCTAGAGTGTCTATGTACGGCTTGATGTCGATTAGCTCTAGCGGGTCGCTCAGGATGACGGAATCAGGAACCGTGTTGATCATTCGCTCGAATACACTTGCGCAGGTGATTTGAAACGTGACACTGTCTACCATAGCCTGCATAGTGATGTTGCCGTCAACGCCGAAGATCCTCTTATCCGAATTTAGGGTGTCGTTATGGTTGAACACCAACGGATTGACACCGTCGTTCTGGAGATATCCACGAACGACGGCGGTGTCGAAGGCGGCAGGAGTATTGTCAAAGCTGACCACATTCGTATTGGACATCTCGCCGCCCGTCACATGTTGGTTTTCGTCTCCGTGAACTCGGCCGAGTGTGTGGCCACAGGCTACGAGCGCAACCATATCGCTATCGTTGAATCCGGCTCGGTGAAAAGTCGTCCTATGACTTTCCAGAGATTGTTCAGGCTTCGGAACTCCAGGAGGCCCAGCCATGATAGCGTCAATACGGCCAGCTCGGAAAGGAATCTTCTGGCCACCACACCCAGCCGCGGCGGTCACTACACTAAGTGCGAGCAGATCGGCGGCGCTAGCTCTTGGGTTGATAAAACTAGACATGTCTGCAAATGTACGATTGAATGCCTTTCCAAGGTTCTCATCGCGGTCTAGCTCGTACATGAGAGATGCATCGAGGCCACCAGTGCCGGCTCCCTTGTCATGGGTAGCAACATCGTGGAACGCGGCTCGGATCCATTCAGCGGAGTTTTGACGACCGACATTGTTTTGACCGTTACCGCAAGAGGCGACAACTAATATTAGGTTAGCAAAGATCACAAGCGAGGGCTTCACACATGGGGTCAATTTGTACTGCTACTGAAGCCAAAAATAGTGGCTCCGGATTGAATTGCGAGAAAGTCTTCCAAGAAGTCGTATCGCGAAGGCCAGACATATCCATCCGATTCCCATGAGGACAATGCCCAAACTAGGAAAGTGAGAAGTCGCGCCAGCCACATAGTGGATAGGGAAATTTTTCAAAGGGGTCTACACAATAGTGTAATGCAGTCTCTCAGCTAATAATGTGCAGAGTATTTCTCATTTATATTCAACTGATATGTGGTTAGATCTATCGAGAAGTCAGCTCAACATAACGAGGAAGGTAGTATTTGACAATGAGGGGATTACTATTATCATACATCACTCGGAAGGACTTACAATTCTAGAAGGTGGTACTGCCGAGCTTCGTATTACAGACCATTAGTCGTACTGCTTCCGGTGGGAGTCTCAACAGATTGGGTCGTGTTTGGCTTGGCATCGACCCACAAGATATACCACATCGCCTATAGAACTGGAGAGTAGGTGCATGAAGTTGCCGGAGTTGCTCACGCCCAGTGCTTTTTATGGGCCTCGGTAGCCGCAATTCGGCCGCCAAATACACTCGCGGACCACTTTGACAATAGGGTATACTCACGCAGCAGCAGAGCATCACCTTGATGTCTCTCTTGAGGCATACCATGTTTGAGAATAGCACAGGCCTGAAAGAACGGATACATAAGGCGCCAAGCGCTCCTCCTACAGCTTGAAGATCCACTCACCGTCAGGGTAATCAATACGAAAGATCGCTGGAGTGCTCTGGCATTTTCATCACCATTTTTGAGATAGCAAGACTCGCGGTACTTATAGGTAAGAAGGGGTTTACCAGGCTAGCATCTAGCTTACATTACCAAATTGTCAAGAAGTTGTCGAGGCCAGTTGACTAGCAGTCTCATTGCAAGAAGAGACATTAAGAAAACAAGAAAGAAAGAAAACAAAGGCTCCAAGATAGAAAGGGGCCGGTAAGGTTTGCTGTGACAGGTTACTAAACCAAAACACTATGCACAAGGGCTTACAGTACAACACCCGCTTTCTTACTGGCAATGGTTTCATCGTTGATTGGGTCAAGGGGGCAAACTTCATCAATCTTGCACGGTCCCGCAAAGACCGAAAAAAATACACGTCTAGCGCCCATATTGAAGCAATATACGCAAGGATAGACGAGGAAGATCTTGATCGAACAATAGTAATGTCTTGAAGGCAGGACTAAAGAGAGTGCCAGCTAAGGTGGCGGCAATGCTAGGTTGACGAACACGTCGCTACAAACGACTCAAGGTATAAGATTCAGCTTTACACATAGGGGCCGTTCGATGATCTCAATATAGGGTAGAGTATTATTAACAAAATAGGGTAAAGTAGGGTAGCCGAACTGGGGCGCTATGACTTCCCGGTTTAGCTAATTGATTATCAACCTACTAGAAGGAAAATCGACGTGTACTTAAAGAATGAGGTCGAAATAGCCGAGCGATAATGCTTTTAGGTAGGTGGGCATAATGAGCTCATTGAGGCCATAAGCGCGCAAGAAGTTGACGGGTCAAAGCCATCGCGTTCGTAGACTACGTAATGAAGAAGGACGTAGAAGCCCGGTATGTAATTCCAATATATCTCCGGACTGAAATAAAGATGAATGAATTACGACTAAGCTTAATAACGTCACCGCCGGGTTCAGGGCGTTGCGATTATTCCACTCAATTTCCGCTCCTTAGTTGCGAAATTTCTGTCTAGTCACCTAGGTCAAATGCTAGCTGTAGCCTGAACGCCGGCGGCATAGCGTGGCTTCAGCTCATTAATTTATGCCTCTGCAAAGTAAGCCTTTGTCGCGGCGGCCAGAACACCTACCGAGAGTCTTGCAGAGGATATGAGGAACTCTCCACAACCTCATACCAATGGCTCAAGTCGCGATTAACCGCATGACACAAGCGGCTGCCATCGCTTTTCCAGAATCCGCAGGACTCAGACCAGGCTTTTCGCTTGAGCACAGCCATCAAGCAGCAGTCGTCCGCTCGTTCATACATCGGCTGCCATTCTTCGGACATGGTAGTCTGAAACCTAAGTTAGGTCCGTCTTGGTTACGAAGTTTTGTCAGCTAGACTCACACCCCGATGTCTATCAGATCCTGAGCCCCTGATATTTGAGCCACTTTCACAATGATATGTTTTGTTATCTGACAGGGGCCATTTCCAAGTTGCAAAAGATTTATTTGGTCCCTTTAACAAGATCATTAATGTGGCACTAATGATCCCTGTCGAAGACGTCACTCATGACTCATAATCTGAAGTGGTTTTGTAAAACAATAGCGGCTCAAGATGCCGTCGAGAATGTTTATAAGAATGGTAAAAGTCCATGCAAGCATAGACGACATCACAGTAGAAACAGGCCCAGGTAATCTTCAATCACCTAACTCAGTCGCGTGTGTCCAGGCCCCTGCTTGAGTTATTGAAGTCTAAATTGTAGGTGGCATTCCAAAATGCGAGAGTCAAACGAGCGACGAAGAGATTAAAATATCAAAGGCTTAGAGTCTGTCCTGCCGTTCCCAGAACCTTGCTCTTGACGTTGGCTTTTCCGTAAAGTAAAAAGCTGTAAGGGATTTTGCTAGAACCAAAGTCACCCTTAGGCGCTGTGTTCTCTCCCCTACCGTATGACATATCGGAGACTGTGGCGTAGCCGGTCTGGCTGAAGTCGGCGAACAAGATGACCTTCTTGCTCGAATTCTCAAAAACAGAGGACTCGACATGGACTCGGGCACTCATTCGAGTGTTCACACCTGTGCTGCCGACTCTGTTGTAGGAGTTATTGTAAATGTGCACAGTACCGAAGCGCATCGAAGGATTTCGCAAGTTGACATTGTTCCAGTCGTTGTTTGCATAGGTAACGTGGAGTTTGCCCTTATCGCTAAGGTAGTGTAGGTATCGACATGACCAATGAGCGACGTTTTGTATGATCGTGAATGTACGAGTTGAAAATGGTGATCCAGTCAGAATCTCTGGTGATGTCGATGAGCCCATCGTAGTAGTCTTTTCCACTGCTCATGTCGGATGATACATCAACGTGGTCAATCCAGACATTCGTGGAGGACTCGATACCGATGGCGTTGCCATAGGCCTCCTTGACCTTCGAGATGGCGAGATTACGAACAATGACGTTGGAGAAGCCCTTGATGTATAGGCCGGCACCAGTGATCTTGGACCCCTTCTGACCCACAATGGTCTTGTCTGCAGCAACACGTACTTTTGCGCTGCCAGAGATGGAGCCTTTGACGTCAATGTTGAACTTGCTGCTCGACTCGGCAGCCTTGGTGAACTGAGTCAGGGTAGAGACGGTGGCCGTTGATCCGCCCTCGCCACCAGTCGTCCCTCCGTTGGTGCTAGCGTATCCAATATTGCAAGTCTCCGTGATGGAAGTGCGCTTAGCAATGGATCCGGTTGACTTTTGATCAAGAGTGGAAGTTGGCGCAGCTGTGGCGGCACCGAGGAGGGCAAAAGTTACCATGTTACTAAGCTTCATGTTCACTTCTTTTGTGATCAGCTGAGCACGATGGGTACCAGTGCGCACTGCTGTGAGAGTTGAGCTAGAGAGAGCGTCTTGCGAAAGTGCGGCGCCAATATATAGTGAATTGAAACAGGGACCCAGATTCACAGAGAATACAGAGATCATCAGTTTTGAGATAACAGCGAAAAGGTCGCCTTATGTGCCGTCCAGGCCTCTTGTACGGCAAATTCTCATTGTTCAGGGCCAAGCTGGCTCAATCAGCTTTGGAATAATTGGCGCTTCATTGGCATATATTGGCACGGAGTTGGCACGGCGCTGGCATTGTCCTCACCCTTGCAACTCCTCCAGTCAATGGAGAAAGCCACGAAACCACCTCCTCCCTTGAAGTAACTATCTCGGTATACTCTAGGCTAGATGTTCGCGTTAAGGGTCAGTTTCTTCAGATCAACATTGTGGGTTAAGCTTTTCACGCAGAAGTTCTCCCTTTCTCTCCTGTCTGGGGATCCACGTGAAGCGTCTTTGAAGTTTTCACTCGGAGCTTTTTGATATATCTGCGGAATTCAGATTAATGCTATATAAAGTCGCTTGTGTGCGATAGGTATGCCAGCATTGCTTGAGTGCTTTGAGCGGGATTTTCACAGCTAAAGTAGACGGAGCAGAAACATTTTTGAGCTTTTCATTTCTTAATATGATCGGACTGAGTTCCACGGGGTTCAAATCTTAGTCAAATGCATATTTCAACACCAAACACCTACGACCCATTTGAAATACCTGACCGACAAAATCGGGACCATAGCCTGGGAGACTTGTAGGCGTACAAGAGGGTATGGGCGAGGGGCTGACAATCAAGACTATATGGAGCTCCCGTTTGGAAGGGGAATGAAGGAGTTAGACTATCGTATTATCTCCATCCTTGACTTCGGCCGTCGATACTTTAAGGGGACGAACTGAGTCTCTGTGCCGATGCGAAAGCCCAATGAGGCGCAGTTCAGAGCCGAGAAAGAGCATTACTGGGTTGGACTGAGTATTCATCTCTGGTATGTCTCAAATTGTACGCTATGTCTTTCAATCTTGAAGTTTCCAACGATCGAAATATCTCCTACAGTGTCTCGCTCCTGCCGCTCGAAGCTGAGACTGGGTTATGGTGCTGTATTTGTCTGGGCCTGAGAGTGATATGAAGTAATTAATATGCTGTAATTATAAGAACGGCGCCTCCGCCACTTGGCTACAGGGGCTTTATGGGGTAATTAATATGTAATATCTTTTGGGATTGTTCATTCAATTTGAAACCGACGGTTTGGGAAGCCACACGACGTACCCAAGCTAATATCATAGCTTGTTGTAAGCACATTCTTACCCAAATCTGCACCAATCCCCGGCCAAAGCATCTGGTCTGAGTTGGCTTGAGATCCGATCTGGCCACAGTTCCCGGAGTGTCATTTATATCCTAGTCGTGAGTGAGGTTATCCTACAAACATCCGACGCAACGTTTTGTTATGGCTCTATAGTGCCAAGAAGGACATGCGGCGGCGTCATCTCGGCTCGTGGGGCTCTTGGGCCCCTGGATCCTCCAGATCATCAGAGACTCCTAACATGAGTCTCAACCGCACGTAGGTACGAGCGTTCGGGGAGCCTGGGAATTTCATCATCCTACTCGTGTCTCTTGCCTATTTCTCTCGTCTAGCTCACTCAGGTGTCGATTACTGGATTCGTATCCGCTTGCCTTGCATCTCCATTAGTGGCGCATATAAAGAAGCTTCTTATATTGAGGGCATCATTACAGTAATAACCTGTTTTTGTAAGTTGCTTGTAAAGGATGGAGGACAACGCGACTCATACTACTAGCCTAATATCGACCGGAAGATGTGCAAGCTCGTCAGAGAATGATGCAGGTAGCGTGATACACCGCAGAATATCCAGACTGACACGTTGGGTCATTTCTGCTACAAGGTGCACGTTAAGGGCGTCTGATGTAGTGCGGTCCAGATCGGCTATGCCATTGGAATTCATCTTGCCTCGGAAGGGCATGCGCACAGCCGGTGACGAATGAGGGTGGTATGGCGGCAAAGCCATCACTCATGATTGCTGATGGTCGGTGTATACTGTGGGTCCGAATGATTAGCTTCGAGATTACCTCTTTACCTGTACGGTTCACGTAGAGATAAAACTTTTCATGTGTATTTAGAAGAATTCTACTACTCCTGCGATATATCTACTTATCAACGATTTCAGCTGGTAAAAGCTGTACTTTGAATCAGCTTTTATAAATAACTATTCAAATAGTTAGAAATATTCATAGTTAATCGTAATTATATAATTAGTATTTATTAATATAAAGTCGTAGTTAAGAATAAAATCATTAATAGTAAAGGTTTAACAATAAAGGTCTAGAAGTAGAAATCTAAAGCGGCCGTAGATATACGCGTAGTAGATCTAGTAATTATCTCAAAAAAGAGCCACATTAAGTGGATTTACCTCCTGGACAACTAAAAGGCACCTCCTGGATAGTGAAACACATCTGCAAGGCTTGCGAGATCCTATAGCTTCGCGGACCAGACCAACACGAAAAGCAACACAGTGTCTGTGAAGTAGTCGGAGCTTCTCTACCTTACATGTCTGTTTGCCAGTAAACTCTGAGAGCATGCCATGGCCTTTCGAAGTGAGTAAAGATTCATTTTTCGTTTGCTTTGAGGGCCGTTCCAGACCGCGATATTGGGACTGAGGATTGGACTGGGACATTTCAAACCCATGGTGACTGGTCGGAGGCACTCTTTCCTCCCAATAAGGAAAAGTCTTTGTTTCATTGTGAAACTTCCTAGCAGCTACTCTTGCCAATGCTCTCGTCAGGCTATAGTCCGCCCTAAGCTCTTCAGATCCAAGAGTCGATACTCGTGCATACTTGTGTCGCTATGTCGAAAGTTTGTTACGGGCGACTACTAGATCACCACGGTACCGCCAGATGAATCAGCACACTCTCGACCCATATCGAGAATCGATGGATCAAGACACCGATTCGTCTAATAAGTTGGTTTCCATCCCAAGCTTGCCGTCACGCTCACTGCCGTAGAAGCTTGCGCTCGCACTTTCGGGTTCATTGAAGTTGTGTTCCTGAAGATTATCACAGTGCCCGTTTTCATCACCCTCACGCGGTTGTCGATCCTCGCTTAGGTGCAACTTCTCCCAAACTCTAAGCTGCCTAAGCTCGCCCAGCTCCTGCTCATCTTCTCTTCCCCGCCGCACTTCGACTCTCTGTTGCTCTTCAGCTATTGGTTGCTCTTCAACTCCCAAATTCTCCTTTGGCTTCGTCTCACAAAAAAGAGGTGATGATTCGCGGTCTTTAGTGGTAGTAGGCTTCCCTACATCGAAGCCGGTTGGCTCAGCGGGTCCGGTAGAGAACCTTGCCCGGCGAGGTGGTCGCCGTGGAGGTGTCGCCAACAGTCGAACAGAGCCTGCCGACCCCTGTTCTGAATCAGCTACAGCGTCGTCTCCAGGCTCTATGGCGTTAATGGAGCGTTTGAGATGCCGCGAAAATCTTCTTGGGGGGGTCTGCAGTAGGCCGAGGCGGGTAGGGGTGTTCGAGACTATATCAACGGCGTCGTCATTGGCGAGAGACGATGGGCGCTGAGGGGTAGACGGACCAGTGGCTACACCACTCATTCTGGCAAGACGCAATCTCTGTGGTAAGTCTTTGAGTAAGCACAGACTTTTCACTCCGTCAGCATCAGCGGGTGAGCAATTTCGTCGTTTGGCATTAGCCGTACCAATTCCTTGCTCTTTAGTTCTTTTTTTTCTTGTTTGGCGGCTTTTACCAACGCCTTTGTCAACGGCGGCTAATAGATCATGATGACATAAGGCTGTGCACGGTCCAGGGCACTTCACGTGGCGTTGTGGGGCATTAAGAAGCTAGACTGAACTTAGTACAAATTTACAGATACATAGGATCTGGAGAGAAGAGTCTAACAACTTTGTTACTTTTATAGGCCGTTATCGTTAGACGTAAATATACTAGTGTTACCCACGACTAACAATTATGCCCTGGGCTAGAGTTCAAAACAACCTAGGGTAACTAGTAATAAGAATAATAAAAGTAGTTATCCGCCCTTAAAAAGTATTTAGGCAACCTTATAGTTTTAGAACTTTGAAAATTACTGTTTATTACTTATTTATAATGTATTTATATATTCTTTTTTATTATTTGAACTTAGTTTTTTTTTAAAATTATTTAATATTTAAAATATATTATAAGTAACTTAAAAAGCCGCTATAATAGCTTTTATAATAAATATAATATTATTAACGGACAGTGAGAGTATGCACTGATACTGTGTATTAATACTGTATAAACGATACTGAGAATCGCCCGAGTAGCTAGCAAAGGCAGAACACAAAAATATATAATATTATTAACATTATTTTCTCATAATAATTAAAATAAATAATAATTAAAATGTATAAATTAGTATGATATTTAAAATATATAAAATATAAATTTATTATACTAATTAACTTTTCATAAAAAAAGTCTTATAAACTTTATATAGTGGTTTTTTTTCTAGCTTTTTAAGTATAAAAGATCGACTTTAATAAAGTTACGCTTTTAAAAAAATTATATAATATAATATACTTTTTAATTATATAATATATATAACACATTTTAAGTACGTACTTAACGTAATATAATAATTTTTATATAAAAACTATAATATAATTTAGAATAAGTAAGCTACTCTTTACGTAGTAGCGCTTATTAAAAAAGGTAATAATAGAGGTCGGCTATAAAAATTAAAAAAAGCCCTTAATTATAGAGGTTCTAAATTTTAATAATAATATAGAGGTTTTTTAAAAAAAAAAGCTAAAAGGGTTAATATTTAGCGTATTAGAGCTTATTAAGATTTTTTAAATCCTTATTACTTTTAATATTACCTAAAGCTCTATTTAAACTAAATAAATTTCCTAAATAAACTTATTAATACATAAACTACTACTCGTTAAGAACCTACTTTACTCTTAGTATATAGTTAGTAACTAATAGGCTAGGACTCTAAAGAAAAGCTCTATAAAAACCCTTATTCTTATTTAATAGCTTTTTTTATAACTATAAAATAATAATTTAATAACTCTAAACGTAATTAAAGCTCTTTAAAATTAAAAACCGCTTTAATAACGTTAAGAATTTACTAAACCTTGTTTTTTTAATAAAAGATTATTATTTATAAATTAATAAATATATGAAAAAAGAAATATATTAATAAAAAATTATAATTATTATATTAAGGTGAGATTTATATAGTGGTTTTTTTCCGGCTTTATAGGTATAAAAAATCGACCTTAACGGGATTACGTTTTTAAAGGAAATTATATAATATAATATACTTTTTAACTATATAATATATATAATATATTTTAAATACGCGCTTAACGTAATATAATAATTTTAATACAAAAACCGCTATTTAATTCGGGATAGGTAAGCTATTTTATTATTTATTAATAATAGGCTAAGTATTATACTTATATAGTAGCGCCGGTTAAAAAGGTTAATAATAAAGGTTAGCTATAATAATTAGCTATAATAATTAGCTATAATAATTAGCTATAATAGTCGGCTATAATAATTAGAGGCGGCCCTTAACTATAGAGGTTCTAAACTTTAATAATAATATAGAGGTTTTTAAAAAAAGGGTTAAAAAGGCTAATATTTACTACTTTTTAAAGCTTATAAAGATTTTTTTTATTTTTATTATTTTTAATATTACCTAAAGCTACTCTTTATTTAAACTAAATAAATTTACTAAACAAATTTATTAAATAAATTTACTAAATAAACTTATTAATATATAAATTACTATTTAAATAGCTAATTAAATAACTAGTTAAGAGGTTAGTTAGTTAAAATACTACTTTAATAAGAACCTAAAAATACTCGTTAATAAGTTTACCCCTCTCGGGCTAGGCTCCCTCGGCTAGCTCAATATTATAATTATTATAACTAATATAAATATACCTAAAAATTAGTAAAATACTTTTTAATAATATAGAATTTAGCTAAGTAATATTATAAGTATTATAAATAGCTAGGTTAATATAAATATTAAAATCTAATATATTAATACTAACCTAGTTATAATAATTATAATAAACGGGCTAAAAATATATAAAGTTAAAATAATAAGTTAGCGCTTTAAATAGCTCTTATAAGACCCCCTAGGTAATAATAATATTTATATAAAAAAATAAATTATACTAAACTTAACTACTTACGTAGGCTAATACTAAGAGGTCTTATGCGCGTTAGAGTAGGTAAAGCTTACCCTATAAGCGGTTAGAAGTAGTAGAAAGTTGGGAGCTATTTTAGTTAGTAGTTAGGTATAGAGCGCATTATACCTAGTTTTCCCTAATACGTAATATACGGTACGGCCCCGGCGGATTGCTCCGTCGGGGGGTAAGGTGAGATTTATAAGTATGCGTTTTAATTAATAGTTAAGAAGAAAGGTAAGGCGGGCCAGAAGGGCGGGGGGTGGGCTAGAAAGAGGTATTGTGACTCAACTTTATTAATCAAGGATTCATCGCAAGAATATATAAAACCAGATGTTTGCCGGTCGTCACCGACCTAACTACTTATTCGGCTCTCAAAAGCTAATCTACAGGAGAGCGGACGGGATCCCAAGTTTTCCGGGGTAATATAATTGGATGTGCCTGGATCTAAATAATCTGGTTACTATAATCCTCTGCTCAAGCTTTGAGCCAGCCAGCCTCCCTTGAATTTCAGCGTAAGTGAATCTCTTAACGGCATGGAGCCCGGCATATCCGTACCGCACATCCTATCACAGAGCATAGTATGTGCAACATGGTTGGCAGGACACGCTGCAAAAGTTTCGTGAAGTGGAACTAATATTTGCCGTGATAGCCGAGATAAGAGCCGGACTGCCCCCACAATCGGCCTTGTCCGCGCGGCATCTCACAGATAAGCGCTGTCCTCACATTCCAAGGTGTCAAGTTAGCGCACACTAGATGACTATTCTCCCGAGCTGGCATGCCATTGTGCCGTCCTGCTATCAGCCATGTGGATCAAGATAGTGGTATCCCACCGCTCCTCACCACCCCCCTGGATAACTACGGGGTAAGCTTTCGGGATTACCTAGCTGGGCCTTCCCCAGTGCGACTGTAACCCGACTAACGATCAAGTGTCTTTTAAACATTCATATACATATTGGAGAATGAGTGGCGCTCAGCCCTCAATCGCCAATTTTTGGGCTGATGCCGGATAAACCGAAAAGCTTTAGTCGAGAGTCACACAACCGCGGCTTGAGCCCTTCCGATTAAGATTCAATAGGGGTTGAACTTGACAGGAAGGTACCAAAGGACGCAAAGATTATAGAAAGATGAGGATTGAATTCCGAGTGTCTAATAAGGTGACGGACGGATACGCCTCAAATCGAACCCGTAGGGTGCCTTAATCCAAGCAGACTGGACTCAACGAAGAATGCGCGGCGTGAGGAGGTGTGGGGTGCGGCACGCGACAACCTGGAAACCCGCAAATCACTTCAGCCAGGCGTTAGGGCGTCCACCCGGGAAGGTGGGTAGCATTGAAGATGAGCCCACCAAGATAGTGGTGAAAAATTGTATGCACACGAGTGCTCCGGCTGGGCGGGAGTCAGATAATTCAATATAATGTCAGATCCCCGCATTGGCAGCCTTTTTGTGCCAAGAGACTTGCAGCCTCGTTGACCGGGTCTTGCCTAACCCGTTGTTGCTTTTGTCAAACCCAGTCCTTTTGCGACTTTACACCAAATCAACACTGAGAACGAAAATCCCGGTCACGACGACGGCCTATTGCCATGGAACGCTTCGAAGAGAAAGGCATGAGTGAAAAGACGTCGCCTCAGGCTTCACTCGAGGCGGGCAGCGGCGACCTTCCGAGGGAGGGTGGCATTCTGGCCGCTTTGCGACGCTTTGAGGGTAGAATGGATAAAGCTCTGGGGGTCGAGTCGCATGCCATTGACCGCAAGACGGACGCAGACAAGAGGCCCGTCAAGTGGCACGAGGAGCTGACCATGGCTCTTCTGTGGGCAAGTGGTACGATGGGCATCAGCTGTTTTGCCACTGGATTTCTCGGCTGGGAGTTTGGTCTTGATTTGCAGCGGGCCATTCCTATCTACATCTTTGGTTCCATCCTCGGCGGCGCCGTGTCTGGATACTGTGCCACGTTTGGTGCAGCAACTGGTCTGCGTCAAATCTCCGTCTCACGATACAGCTTTGGCTGGTGGCCAAACAAACTCATTGCCTTCCTGAATGGCCTGGAACAGCTTGGATGGGCATCGGTCGGCTCCATCAGTGGCGGATTAGCTCTGACCGCCGTGGCTGATGGTCGTATTTCGCTGGTCGTCGGTGTCATCATCATCGCCGTCGTATCTCTTTTGGTCAGCTTTCTCGGCCTGCGCTACATCTTGATCTATGAGAGCTACGCGTGGCTCATCTACTTCATCATCTTCATGATCATCTTTGGCATGGTTGGCCCGTATGCCGACGACGTCACGCCGGCCCAGGTCACGGGCGCCGACCTTTCTGCCAGCGCCCTCTCACTTCTTGCCGTCGTTTATGGAAGTTCTGCCTCATGGGCCACCATGGTGTCCGACTACTACGTCCAGTACCCGACC